CGGGGACAAATCCCACTCCACAGTGTTTTCAGTACCAAAGTGCAACACTCACCGACCCCATCGGTGCAGGTCGGCCCTGGCAGCCGCTCAGCCCTGCGCTCCCCACTGCCCTGCACGATCAGCCCGACCTCCTCCGAGACCCGCGCATAGTAACCCTCCGGCTGCTCGGCCTCTGCAGGGAGAAGAGCACTGGTCAGAACCAGGGACTGATGGAAAGGCCGGCGCAGACCCCGTTGGCATGGTGCCTGCACCCACCCCAGGTTGTGGGATTGCCTCTCCTGTTGGCGTTTAGGAAGGGGTGAGGATGTAACACGGGCGCTGCTGCCGCGGTGGCTCCCACCCTTCCCTGCAGCAAAGCAAAAGCAGCAGGGGATGGCCCTTGGGTGGTTCCAGATTCGGTGTCTGGTCTCAAATGCAGGTTGAAACTAAACTAGGGTGAACTGTTTTTGCTGCAGGTGCACATAAAATTCTGTGCACGGACAATTGCTTTGGAGCAGCGTGCAGTAACTTGCTGCATCACAAGTCACCATAACGATGCACAGTTGTGCTCCTCACCCAGAGGATCCAATCAGCTCAAGCAAAATTGACCCTTTCCTGGGGCAGCGAGTCAAGATTGGAGCTCCCAAAGCAACAAGAGGGCGATTCTTGGGTAGGAATCTGCACTCTCACACCCCAGGCCCTGTTGATGGAGGGCTCTCACCTGTAGGGCTGGATGCAAGGACGTGCCGCAGGGGCAGGCAGCTGGGGCGCTTGGCCCTGGCCCCTGCCTCACCACGCTCCTCCTCCACGTTCTTCTTGAAGGAGAAGACCTTTTTGAGGCTGGGTCTCTTCCTGGAGGCTTTGCCCAGTGTAGGGGATGTGCTGGTGTCGACTCTGGGTCTCCTGTGCCCTTCTGTTTTGCTGCTGTAAGGAGTCCTGACATCTTTTTCCTTCACTTTTTGCCCAGCGTTTTCCTTCTGCTCCTCAGGACTCCTTTTGAACAGCAGATTTAAGAAGCTCTTGAACCAGGTGCGCTGGGCCTTGCCCTGGGGGGAGCTCTTTGTGCTTTTACTCTTAGGCTCCAGCTCCTTTTTAAGTTCCTCCCCAGGAGCCGACGCTTTGCTCTTCTCAACCACAGCCTCCTCCAGCCCCAGCTCCTTGGCTGCCTCCTCCTGCTCCTTCTTCAAGCTGTTCTTGGCATGCGAATACTTGCCAAAGTCGCTCTCCGACCTTTGCAGCAGAGCTGCTTTCCTCCCTCGTGCTTTGGCTCCCTCCTGAAGCCTTTCCTTGGCCGCCTGCGTGTTCTCACAGCAGCTCAATGAACGCCTGACGTAGATCTCCAGCACTTTCTTGGCCCCTCTCCTGTCCAGAGAAAGGATGGATCCCGATGGCTGCCGTGCCGCGTCCCATCGTTGCTGTTCTGTGGGCACAACCCGTGTTTTGCTGCAGAGGAAAACAACATTTTCAGCCCGGTGTTTGCTTTCCTGAGGACAGAGAGTGGGTGGGATGGCTATGATGGAAACTGCTACTGTTTTGACTGCAAGCTGAGGGTGTCTGAGGTGTCCAAGGGCGTATCTGCCCTTGGTAAATGATCAACCTCTTTTATAGTGTTTATGGATGTAGGCTGCACGCTTAGGGTTTTATGATGGGGTAAAGACAGCGCTAATGGGAGAAGTGAAACTGTGCAGAGAGGATGAACTCATCCGGTGCCAAAGGGGCTGCTGGGTTTGCACAGGTGTAACAGGCATATTGCCCTGCTGTGTCTTCCTATCACAACACAGCCCCTAAGCCCAAATCTTCAAGCATCTCCCCTTGAAGCTGCTAAAAAAGCCAACCACAGCAAAAGAAAAAACAGACAAAACCAAACCAGCCACAGCTGTGCACCTTCCAGAGAGACAGACCCAAACCAGTCTGCTTCCACTGCTGAGCAGAGCGCGGGAAGCCAACAGCAAAACCTGTGGGCTGAGCCATGCAGAGCGTGGAGCTGCTTGCAGGGCTGGGCACACAGAACACACATCTACCCCACACAGCTCGGCCGTTTTCCGGATCAAAAAGACAACCCCAAACCCACCCGTGTGAGCACCATTCGTAACTGCAATCACAGCAAAGCGAACCCCATCCTCCGATTGATTCCCACTGGGAGCATCGTTCTTGATTTGCTCCTTTGCTATTTACCTCTCCATTGGGATCGCTGCTCTTCTGGACGCGTGTGGAGGCCAACTCCTCAGCACTGAGCAAGGGGAGCCCCGGCCCCTCCAGCTTTATACCCGCCTGCTTTATACCTTTTGGGGCCGCTGACTCAGCCCTATTTTTAGCTCTCAGGACGGCACTTCCGCATGGGAACCGCTGTGCGTGAGTTTCAGTAGAAAGGAGAACCATTTCCTTGTGATAACCGGCAGCAAAACAGCGCAAAGCATCCGTGTCACCTGGTGCACCTTGGAACCAGCCGTCCCAGCCCGCCGGCGGGTGGTTTTTGTTTATTTATTTTTATCTCTTGTGGGTCGATGAGCCGTGGAGGCTTTGGCGTGCTGCTTCTGTAGGAAGAAACTGAAGTATCTCAGGGAAATGAGGCCTCAGAGCAGCGGCAGGATCTCCTCACTGCCACCCCAGCAACACTCAGGACATGGGGGGCACATAATGAACATGGCCGGGATGCAACATCCTTGAAACCTCCCTTGGGGCCCTTCAGGCAGCCTCCTTGCCCACCCTCAAACATGAACTGGGACCTTAATCACAGAACCGTAGAATGGTTTGGGTTGGAAGGGACCAGAGAGATCACCTGGTTCCAGCCCCCCTGCCTTTCTCACACCTCATCCACCTGTGTCCATTGCCTCCTCCTGCAGGCTGCTGCCTGCCATCCCCATTGCCACTTTGCCATCTGATGGCAATATTTTGCACTGCACCTTGCACGGCGCTGGACACGGATGCATTTGCTGGGTGGTGATCTGTGCAATGACTGGCACGGTGATTTTGGAAAGTCCTATGGGGTTTCCATGCGAGCAAGTGCTTTGTTTTCTCCAGCTTTCAGCCTGGATGACGTGCTGCCCAGAACCATCCTGGATAGGAACAGTCTTTTCTTGATAACCAGTACAGCTCACAATTCAATGTGTCCACAGTTATTTCCTTTCAATCTCTTTCTACGTTTTCTCTGGGCTGCAATTTCCTACTGCTTGAAGAGAAACAGCCCATTTCCCTCCACCTCTTCTGAATGCTGATGCATCAGTCTGGTATTGATTAGGAAATACCCAGTTCTGTTTTCCAGGATCCCCACTTGCTGCTGATAAACAACCCATCCAGCAGGAGCTCTAGGGCACCGAGTGGCACGTGACCACAGTGAGTGATAAGAACTTTCACAATCAACTTAGTCTGTTTTTCCCCTTCAGCATCCAGCTAACAAACAGCCACATCACTCTGGGAATGGAGCACAGTTTGGCCACCTCTTGTTTGCAGGTCATCCAGGATGAGTCTGTAAACGATCCCCGTTGGTGGCGGGGCTCTCATAGCTGCACGGGGATCAGCACTGATCAGCATTGATTGAGGGCCTCTTCCAGGCTTTCTCTCTTTGTAGCTGCACTTCTGGATGTAGCCTGAAGATGCCCAAGGCAGTTTATTTAGAGATAACCAAATATAAAGCACATGATCGAGGGTATTGTCCAGTGCCTCTTGAACAACAACAAGCATAGGGCTTCAGCCACCTCTATGGAGGCCTGCTCCATCCCTAGAGTAAGGGATTGTGTCCATTGTGAACCCCCTCTGGTGCACAGGGTTTGATTTTGGGTGGCCTGGTGTGAAGCCAAGGGTTGGATACAATGATCCTTGTGGGTCTGCTCTACGGTTCTATGATATGACTGCATTCTGTGGTTTGCCCCAGTCACTGACCCTGGAGGTGTTCCAGAACTTGGAGATGTGGCACTGAGGGTTGTGGTCAATGTGCACAGTGGGGATGGGTCAGTGCTTGGACTCAATGATCTTAATTGTCTTTTCCAACCTTAATGATTCTGTGTTTCTATTTGACTGACCCAAGCAGATGCTGTGTTTTAATTGTAAAGACACCGACCACAAAGATCCCTATGAGCCCTGGGCACAAAAATATCTGCAGTTCAGACCTGAACCAAGACACAGAGGATGGAGGCAGCCCAACATGGGCTGAAAAGAGAGCACAGCCAACTCACAGCACCTGCATGGCTTAATGAAACCTCTGCTCCAAGGTGCTGGTGGGCATGGGCACACGAGGGAAGCATGGGACCCCTCCCCACATGCTACCACATGGAGCACAGCCACAGCAGAAATCCCCAGCACTTCACTCCCTCTTCCCACGTGCACACGTTGAATTCCCCAGTGCAGGTGGCATTTGCTGGGCTGTTACTGGAAGGGATGGGTTGTGTTCCAGGAAAGCAGAGTGTTTATGGCTGTCTCACCTGCATACACTGTGGGAAGAGCAATGGCCGCATTGCCCTGGGACAGACAGACACGAGCTCATCCTAGAAGCTGGGAAGGATTTCTCATGGCGCAGCCCATCCTTGCAAAAATGCCCTTTGCTTTTTTGCTTTCCGAGATCGCTCCAGAGCACAGCGCAGCTCAAGGAGGGCTGAGTGCACCTGGCAGCTTCCCAAGCTCAGGAGGAAATCCCCATCCAAGTCCAATGGGATCCTTAGTCATCGTTGGAGGAACAGGTGGAAGGCAGCCACACGCACCGCCTGTGTGTGCTGGGGTCACCACCAGCTCCAATGAAGCCAGCTGTGCCAGCCTGGGGAGCCATGGGTTGCTCAGGAGTCACCAGGGCTGCTTCCATGGCAAGATGGGGATGGGAGAGCAGTCAGAATAAAGGCACCCATGAGTGTGTATCTATCATAGGAGTGGCACACGACCAGGATGGGAGCCCCCCTGAGCAGCTTGGCTGGTGCTGAGTGACCTCCAGCTTTTGCTCCTAGCAGAAATGTTGGCATCCCTCCCTGCCAGCACCTCACCAAGGCTGTGAGGCTGCGCTCCTGTACCCCAACAGAGATCACATTCGCTGCTGACCTGTTTCGTGTCACATCATTTAGCCGTATGGTTACACAAAGCGTGATTAAAAGCAGTTAAAACAAGACCCAGTAGAACATCTGTACAGCCTGCAGCTCCAGCCAGGATTCAGGCCATCTCTTCAGCACATTCCCACCCTTAATCGCAGCTCCACAGGAGACAGATCACAGTGCGCAGCACATCTGCAGGGTGAGTCCTATAGCAGGTCAAGGCAACATCAGTGCACTGGTGACCCTGCACGTGTGTTCATCTCACTGTAACAACCAAGCAGCCTTTCCCAACAGCTTCGAGGCATCACAGCTTTGGCTCAAGGCAACTTTTGGAATCCAGGACCCCCTCTGCTGCCTTCTGTGCAGGGAGCAGGAGGTGCTGGCACTTCCCAGCAGAGCACAGGTCCCCCTGCACAGCACTGCACACACAGCTTTCCGTGGTGTCCTGCACTGAAACCTCCAGCAGCTCTTCCCTGAGCTCCTCGTGCTCCATGTTCTCCAGCTGCTCCAGCCTGCTGGATTTCTCCTGGATGATCTCCTCAGGTGTCTTCAGAAATCTGCAAGTCGTTTTTAGTTGTTCTAAGCACCAGGCTTTGAATGCTGGAGCCCCTGCCCTGAGCTGAGCTCTGGAGCTCTTCCTTTGCCCTCAGGATGCACAGAGCTCTCAGTGTTAAAGCAATAAATGGCACATGTCAGCCCAGCACGGTATTTTAAGCCCAGGGTAATCCCAGGGAAGCAGCCAGCACTGGAAACACTGGGCTCCCAACTTATTTCCATCTGTTCTGTCCATAGGTGGGCTTCAGATCCACGTCCCCATGCATTACCCCAAATGCACACAGCCAAAACGCTGCAACTTCAGCACAGCTCTGCCCCATCAGAGATCCAGATGCCAACACCTGGAGCCCAGCACCTTCCCATGCCCCATTCACACTGCTTCTCTGATCTTCAGCTCACCTGAACAGCAGCTTCTGCCCCGGTTCCCTTTTGATGATGTTAAGCTTGTAGTAATGTCTGAGCGCTCGGGACATCTTCTCATAGGTCATGTTCATGCGGTTCTGGAAGGAGAAATGAAATTTGGGGCTCTGAGCCAAAGCAAGCACCCATCCCTGGCCTGGATCTGCAGCAGGACCATCAGGGTGGCTGCCATGGCACTGCAAGCCTTGGCACAGCTCTGCAGCCCGCATTTGCCTCTGGGCCCACAGGTCCCATGGTTTCTGGGGCTGACACCTCCCTCTTTACCTTGTGGTTCCCCCAGAGATGGGCGAGTCCATGGGGGTTAACGATGCGGAAGAGCTTGGCCTCTTTGTCCTCCCACTTGATGTAGGGCTCGAAGCGGCTGTCGGACAGGAGCTGGTAGATGTAATCCCACAGCAGCCTGCAGTCTGAGCATACAGGAGACATGACAGAGCTCCCACTGTGGCTCCAGTGAAGGTCGGTGAGTGTCAGGGCATTAGCAGTTATTATGTATGCATTAAACACGTTATGGGAAGCGTAGGTGCAAGAAGAGCCCAGAGCTCACGTTTTATTTCTGCATCTCAAAGCGTCAGTGTGAACTACACTTCTTCAAGTGGGGAAACCTGTATTAAATGGGGAGGTTGGTGGCCCTGCATGTGGCAGGGGGGTTGGAGATTCATGATCCTTGAGGTCCCTTCCAACCCTGGCCATTCTGTGATTCTACGATTCCGTGAAACTGAAGCACACACGGATGGAATAAACAGAAGGGGGCAGGAGGGCAGAGGGGATGGAGCACAATCTCATTTCCCCGAGGAACCAGGATGACAAAAAATTAACATTCACCTGCGATTTTCCCATCCACTGGTGCTGATGGGGCTGTAGGAAAAAAGCGGATGGATTCTGCCCTGCAGCTGCCCTCAGTGCTGGGATGGGAGAGGTTCAGGGGCTGATGGAGGCTGTGGGATGGGGGCAGCTCAGTGTGTTCCAGGCAGGGTGAGGGAGCAGCCAGGGCAGCCTCTGCACCGTCGTCCATCCCTGAAAGGGAAAACCTCGTGCTGCACTGAGGTGGATCCCAGGACATCTTCCAGAGCCCTGAAATAAACTTTGTTTAGGGACGGTGGGATGGGTTCAGCTGCGTGCTGCAGCCAAGGGCAGGCACTGTGCTGCGTGGAAAGGCAGCATGCCCACCATACAGGCAGCATGCCCATCATACCTTCCCCTGTGCCCTTGGCCTCTCGGAAGGGTGATTTCAGCAAAGGACTGTACCTCAGAGCTCTTCTTTGAGTCTTAATGTACTGAAGTAATTCATACAACACATCGCCTGTGGGGAAGGAAAGTGAGCTCAGGTGGTTTTGCTGCTTGTATTGCTGCAGTGCTCACAGAGAAAGACTTTCCTCACCATCCCCAAGAACGTGGGGTCTGTAAGAGGTTTTTTCTGGTCTCCAGCACCCACCCATCCCTCCCACAGCAGACCACAGCCTGGAATAGACCTGGTCCTTGTAATGCCCTTCTGCCTCACCAAACCTGAGCCAGGAGCGCGGAACCTGAAGTCGTCCTTGGTGAGGATGCACAGGGCTTTGCCATTCATTTCAAACTTGCTTTCATCCGTTTGCTGAAGGCAATACTCCCTCTCTGCCCACCTGAGCCAGTGCATGACATCGTCCTTACTCCACAACGAGGGCTGGATTCCTGAAAGTGGTGACAGCCCCTGAAACAGCTCAGTCTGCGCCCCCAAACCCAATGTAGAGGTACAGTGGTCTCCATCACCACCCTTCCCCTCTATAGGAACCAAAACCAACCCCACTCACTCAGCCTGCCAGGCAGTGCCAGGCCATGCCCCTCATTGCTGTGTGTGTGTCTGCTCCAGGATGAGAGCAAAGCTGCAGCCACTGGGCTGGAAGAGCCGGGCGTCACTTCACCCTGGGGAAAAGAAATTAAATGCATCGATGGAGGGAAATTCCGGGTTGACATGCCCCTGCATTGGACACACCTGCACCAGGGTGAGCTGACTTCCCCGTGCTGTGACGTGCTGTCTGCGTTCTTGCTCTAGATCCTCACCAGCCCCAGGTTGCCCCAGACAGGAGCCTGAAACCCCCACTCTCTTTTTCCCCTTTTCTTCCTCCATCAGCAGGAGCTCCTCTCCAACATCACCCCTGGTCATGAGCCAGCGTGGAGCTCAGGTCCTGCTTGCAGCATCACCCACATCCTGAAATACCACCAGCAGCAAAGTGGATAATGGTTCCCCTTAAAAATCTGTTAATGTTTTCTTGGCTTCGTTCTCTGGAAAATTAAGAGTTTTGCTTGCAAGTGCTGTTTTCTGAAGCAGTTGACTCCAAGCAGTTCCATACGCCCTTGGGAAGATTTCTGGGGGGAGAGGGGTAACACAGCCCCCTTAATGGGGTGTGGGGGGGAGCTGAGCCCTAAAGAGACAGCAGAGCCTGGCTGTGGCCTCAGTGCAAAGGTGGTGGCACTGAAGGTGGTGACCCTAAAGCTGATGGATCCTAAAGGTGGAGCATGGGGGACTTAAGCTGAGCCCCAGGGCAGCAGGAGCTGCAGCAGGCAGCATTCAGCCAAAGGCTGAAGGTCACCAGAGTTGGTGATGTGCTTCATCTCCCAACATTGTTGACGGATGACAATGAGGAACTATTGCTACTGCTTGGTCTCTTGATGAGAAAGATCAGCAAGAACTGAATCACTCTCAAATTTCATCTCAAAGGGTTTTCCTCACCCGAAGGACAAATGTTAGCATGTTTTCTGCTGGAGGTGATATCGTGGCTTAGCTGTTGTGTCCAGGATTTGGTTTTAGCAAAGCAAGGAGCTGCATAGAATCACAGGAAGAAACCAGAGCAAATCCAGCAGGATAAACTCTATTTAGAGAGGTTTTGCAGCAATGCAAATTGTGTTTTGGATTCATTCTATGCAATAAGAGACAGAAAGATAAGAGCAAAGGGAATTAGCAGTGCATTTTGCTCCTCCCTTCTAAAGGTTTCTAGAGCATAGCGACACACTCCTAACTCCGGTAACTTTGGCCCTATTTTATCAGAGTCGATTTGGCGTTGTTTTGTTTCCTCCTTCGCTATTTTCGGGCGTGTATCTGAGATGGCATTTACTCGGTTCGCCTCGGAGCCGCAAACCGGGAGGAGAGCGGTGAAAAGGGGCAGCACGGAGCCCGGCGCTGAGCACCACCAACCTCACTGCTCCACTCCGAGAGGGATCCGCTGGAAAAGGGCTCCTCGAGTGCCACAACCGGGGGTGGGCGGCTCTTACCTGCATCCCCGCCGCCCCCCGCCGCTCGGCGCTGCCCCAACGCGGCTCCGGCGCGATCCTTCCGGGAAACGAAATCGAAACGATCGGAGAGTCGGGAGAGACGGGGGGAGTGCCCAGGGCCGTGTACCATAACCCCCCTTCCCCACACACACACACATATATACCGGGCCGTGTCCCCGCTGCCCCCGGGGGTTCCCGTTTACTTTCTGACCCCGCCCGCTGCCAGCGCCGAAGTCCCCTCCCGGAACACGGCTACAGGCTCAAAGCTTTTAACTTTTTCTACCCTCTACCGGCTCCAGTCTCCACAGAGCACAGCCGAGATGGGGCAACGCTGCGCAAAGCGGGGCGCAAAGCGGGGCGCAAAGCGGGGCGCAAAGCGGGGCGCAAAGCGGGGCGCAAAGCGGGGCGCAAAGCGGGGCGCAAAGCGGGGCGCAAAGCGGGGCGCGCGCCGACCCACGTGCACCACCGACGCGCGCCACCGCCTGGGCCCCGCCCCTTTTCCCGCTAGGCCACGCTCCTTTTGCTAAGCCACGCCCTCACTCGTGCTAGGCCACGCCCCATTCTTCTCTCTTTGCCCCCTTCCTTGCCATTGGTCCACCGCCTCCACGCTCGGGACCAATCAGAGAGCGGAGGAGGCGGGGCGCGGCCTCACTTCCAAATCCCGCCCTCCCGCCGCCTGCAGGAGCGGCGCGGTGGGGATGGCGGTGAGTGCGGCCTGTACGGCCCTGCGCAGCGTGCGGGCTGCCCTGCCCTCCTGCCGGCCTGGGGAAGGGGCTGCGGGGTCCTTCGTGGCTTTTCGCGAAGCTTGGGGCTGTTGAGGGCTTTTCTCAGCCTTCGAGGGGCCCGTGCTGCTCCGTTCTGGGCCGTGGGGGTCGGTGCGGGCCTGCTCTGTTCCGTTCCCTCGGGCCGCTGAGGGCGGTTTGGGGTCGGGCGCGTCGCGGCGTTCTGTGGGAGCCCCGCGGGGTCTCAGTGTGGGGCTTAGGGCGCCCGTCTCCGCGCCTGTGGGGCTCCGTCAGCGCAGGCGGGGGCTGTTATCCCCGAGCCGCGCGTCAGCCCTGCCTCCGTTGCTCGGCACGAGGCCTCGCTGCCCTCGGGTGACGGATCTGCTGTGCCCAATGGCTGCCTGCTCGCAGTGCTGCGCTGTGCGCGTCCCCAGGTGTGTCTGTAGGGTTAGTGCTGCCGTCCCTTTTCTCCCCCTCCTTTCTGGCCCTGTAATGCTTTGAAAGAGCTGCGGTCTGTGCTGGATTTTCCTGTGAAGAGGAGCTGTGGGTGAGAGCTCACCTTGCTGCTGCTGTGGTTTCCCCCTGTCTTTAATCCTGCTTGCTCTGTGCTGCCTTCCTGGTGACCTTAAGCTATTCAGGAAGGGAGGTCAATAATTCTAAGTTAATAATTCAGCATGGGAGATTGAGGACGCATATCTGTAGGATGAATGTCACAGATTACTTTGCCAGGGTGGCTACAAACCCTGATCCTGTTGTAGCAGCAGGTTATGCCCCTAAAGAAGGAAGTTCACCTGCTCTCTCCATGGCCTTATCCTCAGCACAGAGTCGCCGTCCTTCCTGCTGGCATTGCTAGCAGTCCCACATCAGTTACAGGAAGGGCAGTTAACGGAAAAGCAGGGTTGTCCCTTTTGAGGTGTGTCCTTATTTACCCCATAGCCTGTCTGAGTGTCACTTGCACTTATGGGTTGTAAATACTGACACCTTTGGTTCATGGAGGTGTTTATAGTCACGTGGGCAGCCAAATTGTGAGTTACAAGGCTCAAAAGCTGCGGGTCAATGTGTAAGCAAAGCTTCTTGCATATGTTATCAGTTATTCTGGGCTTTTGCATATCTTTACTACAGTTGTCTTTAAGAAAACAATGTCAGTTCAGTAAAATAAATGGACTGATGGCTATTACAATTCATAGGTACTTAAATCACTAAAAATTGTCTTTTTCAGAGCAGATTGTGGAGCGGTTGCTTGCAGTGGTGCAGTTGCCTTTATTTTCTGTAATAATGTCCACATTAAAAGGTCTTCAATTATCTGATCCTGTTGCTGAGATGGAGCAATGTCTGCAGACTCATTAGTGAAGCCTGTGCACAAGGCTGTGTCAGACTTATCTCACGTTATCTCAAAGCAATTAAGAGCAGGATGAAGTAAGCTGTGCTTTGATGGAAATAGGTGTGCACTGAGTTAGCTAAATTGGTGTTTATTTCAAACCAGACTTATCTTGTTTGCTGCTCGTAGGTTGTTTTGTTGTTGTGCTGTTGCTTTGGGTTGTGTTGTTTTGGAGGGGATGAATCCTATGATAGGAGCTGAAAGTTGTCTTTCTTTTGGGAGTTCCTCACACAGTTCTGTGGAAGGGAAGAAAGGAGGGGGGGGAGCCATTATTGGCTTTAATTGAGTGGTCATCTAGGAATCTGAGATGTGAGTGTGACAGGTTGTTGGGTATCTGCAGTAGGAAATAACCCCCAGGATTGAGAAACCTCGTTATTTCAGCTGATCTGATCACAAATCCCAGCTCGCCTCAGTCCTTTTCTGCTCTGCCTTCCCATCCTGACACGTTCAGTCTTGCCTCCTCAGACTCCAAGAGGTTTTGTCATCACCTGCTTTCAGCTTTTGTTAGGGATGTTGTGATGGTTTGTTTTTTTGGGGGGCGGGGAAGAACCAGCAATGCCTGCTTTTATTAACTGACAGCCTCTATTTTGCTATGGGACTTCAATGCTGCCACTCCTCCTTGTAGAGAATAAAGCAAAGTGAACCTCCTTAAAATGCTTGTTTGGAAGCAGGCTGTGGGGCTGCGGTGTCCCAAGGAGATGTGGGGAGCAGAGTGGTAATGAACTCTTGCTTACCAGGGAAAATGCTGAATTGGTGCCTGCTGATAACAGCTATTGCAGCTGTCCAAAGAGTCTCCTGATTTTGAGATGAATTGCTTAATAGAAAATAAAATTAGTTAGAATGTAAGTTCATTACGAGCTGGCTTAACCCATGCGCACACAAGCAACACAATTAATTCTTTCCTGTGGGGAAACATAGATGAACGAGGAGCTACCACCATTTTTCACCCACTTCATTCACAAACTGCACAGTGAGAGCTAATGATGATGTTAAAGCTCTGTGCAGAAGCAGTGTGGTTGTAGTATCTGTGTGGGGGGGCTTGGCTGTACTGCTGATGAAAGCCCCGCTGATTTCGGGTTTCTGATTCCAGCATCCTCTGTGAGCGCCCCATGAGCATTGGGTAGAGTCTGTGGGCCAGCTTTCACCAAGGTCAGTACAACTTTACACATTTTTGGATTGTCTTGCTGTACAGATCATTGATTCCCAGTCAGTAGTCTCCTAGTTTGGAAACTCCTGAATTTTTGCCTCTGTCCCATGGCCCGGTTTGATCCTATCTGTGTTCTGATGAGCTGAATTGCTTTGCGGGGCTTCTGTCTTAGCAGTGCCTGTTTAGAGAAGCTGGGACTTGTAGGGGAAGAGTGGTTGAGGGAAACCAAGTAATGACACAAAGGAGCATGCAGTTGTGTGTCAGTTCTGCATTTGCAGCTCGTGGACAAATAACACAGGTTAAAATTTATGAATCATAATTCCAGTGGCAAAAACGTGTCTTACAAGACATGGATGCAGTTAGCAGCAGGCTCTCAAAAGACGGTGCTGTGACCCTGAGCTGGGTGCTTGGGTGCAGTAATCCAGTCCATCAGAGCAGAGGGTAACAGGAAGGAAGTACAGCTTGGCAGCCAGAAGAGTAACAGAAGTGAACCTTGTGCTGTGCTGTACGTGCAGCAGTGTGCAAACAAGCCAGTGTCAGCCTGCTCTCATCACTAACACTGCTGGGATTCCACCCCCCTCATTCAGCCTGCTGGGACGGCAGGTGATCGTGTTTCTGTGACGTTCATCTGTGTGCCCACACTGTGCTTTAGGATGTCCTGCCAGCTGTCCTGATGGAGCACATGCACCAACTTCAGCAGTTTTCTCAGTTCAGTAACTGATGGCATTTGTGTTTTCTCAGTTATCTGTTTTGCCACTTGAATGACTGCAGTTCTCACTCGGCGTGTCGTCAAAACTGAAGTGAAGGATCCACAAAGGAAGGGAGCAGGGAAAAGGCAGGAGGAGAAAAACCCTTTGCGTTTGCTCTGTTGCCACAGCTGCAGTATTTTTGAAGGTATTCCCTGGGATTTAGCTTAGCTGGGTGAGTTTCACAAGTCTCCCCCAGTTTGCTTATGGTGAATTTCATCCACTGGATCAACGTAACTAGAACAAATGAAGGAGGAAAACTGAATAAGGAAGCTTTAGCATTTGTGTAAGCTGGCTAATTTCTTCTTCCCCTGGATGAGAGGATTAAAAATCATGGCCTTGCATAATCACTGGCTTTGGAAAGGTTACATCTGCCTGGAACGTTATCTGCTGCAGCAGTTGGTGGTTATGAATGAGTTCCCCAATCCATTGACATAAATGTTCTGGCAAACCTCCTTACAGCCTGATGCTTTGGGGTAAGACTGGCCTTCACTGGGTGGTGGTGGAACTTCACAATGGCACAAACCTTCCATACCAACATGGATGGGAATAACAGGGTGTAGCCTTTGTCAAGGAGGGATCTTTGAGAGGTTTTGTAAAGCTGACCTCATTCATTGTGCCTCTGTTCTCCAGATCCCCTAAGGAATACAAGAGAAATGTACAGATTACTTAGATTTCAGTAGGCACCGATTTCCTCTTGCAGTTCAATTTCTTACATCTTTAAGAGATTCTCTAAGATGTATGGGCACTGCTTTTCTTTTTCTTCCATGGGCTGTTTTCTGCAGCATCCAGGTTCTTTCGGAGAAGCCACTTCTGTGTGAGAAATGGGGTTATTCAGTGATCTTCAAAGCAGGTCATGCTGGTTTAGTGTTAAAATAAAGCACCACAGAAGTTCAGTTTTTTGCTAATCTCCACGGTTTCAATGAGACCTGTTCTTGCAGTGTGCTAATTAGGCACTATCTGAGTAATTTTGGACTAGACAGGTTTTATCTCTTGCCCTTAATGCTGCTTATCTGTGATTTAAGCCGTGCAGCACAGCAGTTTAAACCTTCTTTTGGAACATGACTGAAAGCCATGGGTTTGATTGCTTCTCTAATGGAGGGAAAATATTGATCAAGGGAATTCCTTGGGCGTGTGTGAGCAGCAGGTGGGACAGGAGCTCTTGCAGCATCCAGAGTAGCCCTGCTTTCAGATCCCATGAAGGGCACTGAGCGTTGCCTACCTGTCTCAGCAGCAACCTGTCCGTTTCCAAATGTCAGCGCAAGCCAGACGTGCTGCTATGGCTGCTGCAGAGCAGGAAGGTTGCTGTGACTCAGCTCTGTGTCACAGCTCTCAGCCTGCTGCACGTGGCATAGAATTATAGGACGGCTTAACCTGAAAGGGATCTTAAAGATGCTCAGCGCTGCCCTTGCTGTGGGCTGGGCGCTCACCAGCCCTGAGGCCCATCTGTGGCCTCAGGCACCTCCAGGCATGGGCACACAGCTGTGGGCAGCAGAACCAGGGCCTCGCTGCGCTCTGAGTAAAGGATTTCCTCCTAACATCCGACCCGAATCTCATTCTTTTAGTTTAAATCTTTTCCCCCTTGTCTTATCATATCAGACCATGCAAAAAGTCAGACTCCTTCCTGTTCATAAGCTCCCCTCCAGTACTGAGCAAGGCCCAAGTGAATGTATTTGGCAGTGGGACGTGTTGACATGTGGGCTTGCTGTCAGGCTTGAGGAGCAGCAATAAACAGCTGGGTTTGAGATGGTTCCCTTTGAATGTTCTGTGCAGTGTAGTGCAGTGACAGCAGGCTGATGGCTGCTCTGAGCATTGGGTGAGCGAGGGGGAAACTGGATTTCTGTTTACTGTTAATTATAAAGCTGCAGAGCTTAGTGCATTAGGGCTGTGCTATATTTAAACGGTCCCCCATCTGTCTGTCTGTCCCTATTACAAAATGTTCTTTGAGAAGATCACGGGGCGAGCTTCTCTCCTCTTAAAAGCTGTTTTTGAAGCTCTCAGTTGCTTTCAGAGAGCTGTCTGACATGCCGTGGCATCTGTGTCTGCCTTTGCTTTGTGCTGTTAAGTCACTGCAGTGCTGTTTGGAGGGCATTGCAGACAACTACAGGGAACAGCATTTCTCTGCTTGTAGAGTGAAGTTGATGCATTTCTGAAAGATGAAGCTGCTATTCATGGAGAAAATGGAATCTTTGGTCATTTGCTGTGTTGCAGACTGTTATCTTCAGTTAGGAGACTGTTACAGCAGCATTAAGAATAACAATTCCAATCAAAACCTCTTGTGAACTCGGGCCAGCCAGATTGACAGCCCTGAGGCTTTCAGGCTTTGCTTATCCCCAGAGTATTGGAGCAGTGATGGGCACAGCAGCTCCTCATCTGCCCCAGCTGCATCCCATGGGCCTGTGCTGTGTGCTGGGACTTCTGCCCATCGCTTCTGAGTTGGGCTCTGCTTTTACCACCCAAAGGGTCACTTAGTGCTGGTGGTTTCTAGAAAGCTGGCTGCCAGATTGGCAACAGCCAGCTCGTTTCACACAGTCTGCATTACGAGCTCTAAAGTCTCAAGGTTTTGGGCACTTGTGGGCTGAGATGAAATCCTTGGGTTGTACATTAACAGCCCTTTAATTAGCAGGCTCTGGACTAAGACGCGCTCAAGGCTTATTAAAGTCATTCTACTGAAGCAGGGGAATTGATTTGTGACTCTTGTGGATTATTCAACTGAAGAGTAGAACCCCCCCCAAGGACAGACTTGGAAGGATTTCCTTAAAATAAATGGCAGTAAAAATCCAAGCGTTTGTTTCCCTTGGTGTCTTTGAGATGGGTGCTGTGGAAGCCAGCTGTGGCTTTGGTTGCATGCTTGTCAAATTACAAACGGGCTGGAATGGGCTCTTCTGGAACAGGCTGCCATTTTAGAACTTCCCACTTCCAAGAGCATCCTCGCTTGGTGCCCAATGGGTGCCTTTCCTCTGCACCACCACCTCGTTATGTGTGTTGAAATAGGCACCGTCTCTGCTTATTCAGTTTTATTTTTGTGTGCGTGGTTGTTTTCCTTTTTAAACCCACAAAATACGGCTCCAGTTCCTGGTTCATTTTGCTGAAACACGACACTGGCCAAATATTTTTGTGAGAGCCTTATTAGTCACATAAGAAAGAATGCAAGGAAGTATTCTTAGAAAGTGTTACAGCTATGCTTGACGTGTAAAATATTTACCCAGACATGTAAACACAGCAAGGAGTGCTGTGCCAGTGTACCATCATATTGAGCAAGATGTTTTCCAGCTCTTGGAAGTAAGGGATCGTGTCCTCTGCTGACATGAACCAACAGTGTTGATGCTTGGCTTTACCCAGCAGAACTCTTAGCCCCCCTCTCTCCCATCCCAAAAATAAATCGGGATGAGCTTTCTCGAAGAGCTGCAATTGTGCTAAATAAATCTCTTCTGTTTGTTTGGCTGTAGGGTTGTTTCAGCATTACTAACGTGACCGCAGTCTGCAGGGTTTGTTTTGCTTTCTGTTGTCTGTATCTTAACGTGTATTATAAAACTTTCTGGTTCCTGCAGAGCACGCTGCCCCGGTGCCTCCGCTCGGCAGGAGTGTCCCCATGGTTCTGTGGATTCATCTGAGCCATTTCCAGCTGTTCTTTGCCACGGTGAGATAGGAGAGATAGGCAGTGCTGCTGGGGCTGCCAGATAACCGCCCTGACTGAGATCCTGTGTTCTGCCCAGCTTTGGTACGAAGCTCCTCCTGTGCTGGGCTCTGATGTGAGCTCTGCCACGTCCTCAGCGCTGCTCTGCTGACTGCAGCTCTGCTGGCTGCAAGCTGCCACCGTCCTCTGGTCACTGTCAGTGCCTGTGCTGGAGGTGCAGGGCTGTGAGCTGTACCAGCAGGGCTGTGTAGGCAGATCAGAGCTTATCCAGCACAGCAGTAACCCCTGAGTTCCTCCACGCTTCACTACAGATTAACCTCTTTCTCAAGGCAGGACACTTTGATATTGAATTGCGTTTCATTCAATAGTTTTCCTGCTGTGGGTCTGGATCGTCTTTGCTCGTTTTGTTTTTAATGCTGCATGCTCTGTTTTTCTGAACTCTCATTGGTTCACAGTGACTGTAACTGCTTTCAAAACTCTTCCCTCTGCTATTAGTTGGCTCAAGCTGCTGCCATGCAACTGGTTAAAAATGAATGGCAGTTGGAGTTGTAGCAGATGAGCTGGGAATGAGTTAGCAGTTACTTGCTGGGATCCCTTCCAGAGGAGGAAGGTGGAGTTCTGGGCTGCTCGCAGCATTTCCAAGATAAGAGTCGTGGCAAACGGGGGCTGTGTGAAGCATCAAGAAACTGCAGCAAACTACAAGTGAGGAGTTTGAATTCAGGTTATTCACTCCACCAAAGAACCAATCCACTCGTGTTCAAACTGTTCCCTATGTCAAAACTGAGGAGGCTGAGCCAGGAGCCTGGAGGGAGAGACTCAGGATGGTGAGGTTTGTTGGTTTGTTTTTCCCCCTGAAAATAGGAGGCTTAAAAAGAAGAAGGAGGGGAAAGAAAAGAAAAGAAAAAAAAGCTGTTTGCTGCCACGTGGGTTTTGCATTGAGCTGTCATGAATCAGCTCTGAAGTGGGAGGGGACTTTTAGACTGAAATATTTACATGAATCAGACAGCTGGGCTTTGGGGGAGGGACCAGAGCCGTCCAAACAGTTTAAACTGCGAAGCTCTGCTGTGCCTCGGTGCTTCCCTCTGATAAAGAAGGATTTGAGGGACTGGAGCCGGTAGCACTGAGAACATATGAGCCGCCAGTGAGTAAAGCTGTGCTGTGTGGGTGCTGGGGGAGGCTTTGCTCTGGGGTTACGGCAGGGAAGGAGGTGATTTCTGTTCAGTTCTGCTTGCTGCAGGTGTGTCAGGATTGTCACAAGTCTGTATGCTTTATAGGACAGCTGATGATGAGAAGCTTTGGATTCTGTAGTGTAGGCATTTGTGTGAATGGGAAACAAAGTCAGATTTAGCTGCCCAGGACGAAACGGTGTTTTAAGATCTAAAGGAATGTCTTGCTTTTATTTTTGTTTCAACTTTTTGGTTGTTTTGAAGCTTTTCTCAGCTCCCCTGCTGAGAATGGATGCAAGTCAGAACTCTGTTGTCTGTTGCTGTTGTTTTTGTTGAGGATTTTGTGCTTTGCAACTTTATCTAACTCAGCTGAAGATAAATTAAACTCATAGGTGTCATTTGGCTTAAAACTTCAGCTGGCTTGGTCTTGTGTGTGTGTGTTGGACTGGATGATCTTTTAGGTCTTTTCCAACCTTGGTGATTCTGTGATTCTAACAAATTTGTGTTATGGTGTTCATAGTTACGTGATATTAAGGTCAGTTGAGGCACCATAGGAATACATCTGAACTTAGCTAGGGCTTCCTGCTGCAATGCTGGTATTGTATCTCCATGGGGTACCTATACTTGAGAAAATATTGTTGCAGGTATTTAAAAAAAAAAAATGACATGCACGTCTATTAACTGTTTTTATACACAGAAATCCTACATGAACAGGAGGCACTCGTTAACAACATACATTAAAAAGGGCCCCTGTGTTTCTTCTGAGTCTGAAGATCCTGCTGATGTTTGCAGTTTGGCCCATCTTTCACCAGGTTCTGACTGAAGGTAGTTGAGCAGAACCAACAAAGCTGCCGTGACTGCAGTGATGAGAAGCTCTTGGTGAGGATCAGCTGTAAGAGCTTTTTCAGAAAGCTGCCTTTAACCCAGAGTGTGGGTAAGCAGCAGTGGTTCCTAAAGGCCACCTGGCTGTGCTGGTTGAGCCTCTCAGGGAGGACAGGAGCTTCAGCACACGCAGACCTGCTGCCTTATTCAGCAAACAGTTTCCTTCTGATACATCCAGCAGCAGGGCTGCGCTGGGTGCTGGATTCATCTCACCCTGCTGAGTGCTTTGGTGTAACTTTCCTGCTTTGGGAAAGGCCATCGTGTGTTACTGCAAGTTAATAAATCTCAGCAGGCCTCCTCTGTGTGTTAGTGCTGCTGCTGATGGTGGCAGCGTGGAGCGCTGCGGTGACTCGGTGCCATCTGTGGTGATGGAGCTGTGTGTGTGAACCAGTCCCTGTCACTTAAGGAAGAACCTGGCAGACCATAAGGCTCACATCCAGGGTCAGACGGTCAGTGTGAAGCTATTAAAGCCGTGCTGCAGGCTGGAGCTCTGAATTGTAGAAACAGTAGGTTGTTGTTAAGACTGAAGTAAGTGAGTAGGTCTGTAAACTTTGCTAACAGTGGAGCACTATGCACAGAATAGGAGAAAACAATCGAGCATTTCATCAGCCTCCTTGCTGTCTCTGGCCAGAATTTGCAGGCTGCTCTGTGTTGCATCAATCCTGCTGGACATTATTTTCCATCTATAATTTGAAACCAGATGGAAAATGAATGCACTGTGCATTGATAGAGATATTTCATAAGAGGGGAGAAACCTTTGCAATGCGTCTGTGTGAACTGAGACTGTAAAGCACTCTTGGATTGCCTGGTTGCATTTGTGTCTGTAACAGAAAATGAGGCGAGGATCATTAGTAGGTATGAGATGAGCATCTCAAAGGCTCCAGGCAGACTTTCTCTCTGATGCAATGTGGATGAATGCACTTTATGTTGTTCTCCTATGGTGCAGGCCTGTCTACAGGTGGGCAGCACCAGGCCCACTGCATTTCACTTGGCCTCGAGCATCCATTGTATGATTCAGCCCCACAGGGCAGAACCTGGGACTCAGCGCTTGCCTTTCCTGCTCTGTAAGCAAACCCTGCGTGCCAGAGGTGATGGGAGGCCACAGTGCTCTGTGCCCAGGGCAGCCCGTCAGCCTGGCTTCCTCTCTTGCTATGTGACATTTCACATGTGGCATTTCACCTTCTGAAAGAGCAGAACTGTGCTCGTAAATAAGGCCTGAGCTTCAAAGAGAGGTGGCAAGTAAGGAGCCTGATTTGTACGTGACAGTTCAAACTCCAAATGAGTGTTGGACGCACGCTGTGGTTCTGCATGAAGGTGCTTTAATAGGGAGGTTTTGGTTACAATTTGTTGATGATGCTGTAATTGTCTCTTGCTGGGGGTGCAGAAGGGAACAGAGCAGAAGAGAAGCTTGGTCAAGGCTACAGCAGGCAAGCAGGTTTGGGTTTTCTTCCTGTGCCCTTCTGTGCTGTTTCCTTTTTGTATTTTCTTTATTATTTATGTCTGCAGAGATCCCCAGGTTAAGGGTGTGGGAACGAACAGAAGCTGGGGCCAAAGCTCACACAGATGGATTCTGCTCTTGCTCACGTCGGCTCAGCCCTGCTGTTTTCAGCGAGCTGCTCGCAGCCAGGGCAGAAACTCCAAGTGAAGCCTTTCTGAGCAGCTGGGTTGTGCTGTCCTGCACAGCCCTGCAGAGCTGCTTCAGCAGCACAGGGAGTGAGGTGGGCAGCAGGGCCTTGGCTTGGGGTGTCAGTGCCATAGCCGCCTCGGTCGCCCATCCTCACGCACAGGAAATGCTGCTCATTATTTATCTGAAGTGAGATTTCCCTTTTTGTTCTGCAGAAGAGGAGTCTGTCATCATGGTTCTGCTTTGGATGTGTTCCAAGGATGCGCTTTCACAAATTAAAGCCAGGCTAAACTTTTCAGAAAGGCGTGCAGTGATGTTACAAATACGTCTTGTTCCAAACCTGTAGACTGCAGAATTAGGTCAGGCACACCCTGAATAGGCACATTTCCTGCTTGCTCATGTTTCTGAGAATTTGTATGTGGGAATGTTGCTGTAGATTTAAAGGAGCGTCGTCACCTAAAAATGAGTTGTTGGGAGTTGCATTGAAGTCATCGTGACGCTGTGATGTAGGAAGAGCAGCAGTTTGCCAGCTGCCCCGTTTGGTTGCTCAGTCTGGTTGTCACCCTTTGCTGTTTTTAAACCATGGGATGAATTTAGATCACTCTCTTCAGCTATTTTTGCTGCTTCCCGAGTTGCTGCTCGTTGTGCTGGGTGACTGCAAAGCAGTGCTGAAGCTGTTGGATGTTCCAGGCAAGGGCTTTGCTCTTGAACAGTCTGACAGCACTGCTTTTTCTTTGGAGTTTCTATGGAGTTCTGCAAACCTGGGCTCCTCAGCTGTTTTAGAATTGCTTTTAAAAATACTAAGGAAAAACAAAGAGCACGAGGGTAATTATAAGGAGCAACTAAAGCTAGATGTTAGAAACCAGCAAGTCTGCGCTGCTAATTTTACTATCTTCTGCTTGATGAAATGTTTTGCATCTGTCCTGGGTTTCCTTTGCTGGTTATGCTGTTGGCATTCCTTTCTTGCACACCACCTCTATGCTCTTTGTGTTGGTATGAGCAAGTTGGGCCATTTGAAACGAGGCATTTCACTCCTGAGAGCTGTGTGTGTTGGAAAGCGGGTTTGGATGAGAGTTCATTCTCCAGTCGGAAATGTTTACAGCACTCTTCTTTCATTTTAGAGATTAAGAATTCTCAGTGTGGGCCTGTTCTTGAGATAGCTGCCTGTGTGCAGCCAGGGGCAGGAGGGGTGGGTGCATCAGTGTTGGGCCTGCAGTTGATCCCAAAATGATCTCCTCTTTTGTCCCTGTTTTCTCTAATAAGGCTGCCCTGCAGTGTTTCCCAGGGCCGTCAGGAGGCATGAGCTGTTAATATATGTGAAAAGCTTCGAGGGTGAACAGTGCTAATTATTATTTATAGGTATTCAGTCTCACTCCAGGTGCTTCGCCTTGATTGTAGGCATGAAAGGAAAGCAGGACATTTGTCAGCTGGTCAGCCTCAAGTGTGGCCTTGTGATGCCCTGATTTCCCTCCTGGGCTGTGTGCATGACTGCAGTGTATTTGTCGTGTGGAACAGTTGGGCTGTTTGTTATACAAGCCAGATCCAGGCCTTAAGCTGTCCTTCCTGGTTTGCCTTAATTCTTCATTGTTTGAGAGCTTCTTCCAAAACCAACAACCTGCTGTTTTCTCTCCTAGCTCTTCTCTTAGGAAACGCAACCAACACCTTGCATCACGGAGGCCCAGCATGAATATTAACTGTGCTGGTGGGAAGAGGAATCTGGAGTCCACTTGCTCTGTAGAAAATGGAACTGTAGCAGTGCGTGAGACAGAAGAAGGTGATGTGGTGCTTGGAGGTCACAGCCCCTCTGCAGGCCTCAGGAACGAGGGTGAGGATGATGTCTTTACCTTGCACTGATCTTTAAGGGAGATTTTGGGGGGTGGTGCTGCAGGAAGTGTTTAATTTCTGTGCTCCTGCTCTTTAACTGTGGGATGTGTCTTGCTTTAACAAGCTGTGTTAAGCATGGGGGAAATTTTTTCTCTGAAAGCCACATTCTGTCTAAATTTGAAAATGCGGACTGGCCTCAGGTCAGATAGCATTATTGTGACAGTGATGTATATCGACGTGCTTTGTTATTGCCTGACTCATTTTTCTCACTGCAGTAAGAAGCATTACTGCTGAATGATGTTTCAATAAGCTGCATCTTCCTTTTGTGTGTCTCCCAGGTTTAGATTCTGACTACAGACACGCTGCCTGCCCAGCCAGCCCCCAGTTCAGCAGCATGTTGTCTGCTTCTGAAGACGCACACGGTTGTCACTTCCAAGATGGAAATAAAAGACAGGCAGAATATTTTAACGCCCAGGAGCGCCATGCTTTGTCTTCAAGCATCAATTCACAGCCAGTGGCTCCAGAGAAAGTGACACTTGTGGTCGACGGCACTCGATTTGCTGTGAATCCACAGATTTTCACTGCTCACCCTGATACTATGCTGGGAAGGTGAGTGATTTCCCCTATTTTCAATATATCTCAAGAGAGTAAGATGCCTTCTGAAACGGAATGAACATGTTTGTGTTGTGATCTTATCACTGCACACATGCAGAGCAACGTTGACCTCATTCAGATCTGTGCTGTTAGTAAGGCCTTGAAGACATGAGTAGATGTAGAGAGACTTAGTAATTCTCTAGGTAACGTTCTCTCTATGGCCTGCTTCCTTCAAGCAGTGAGCACTTCTAGCCAGATGCAGCTTGCTTTTGCCTTCTGAGTGTCTGCCTTGTTTGTGAGTCTGTGCCTGCTGGCAGCTGATAACTTCATCCCTTACAAAATGGGGGAAAAAATGATAATGCTTCCTCCCTGCCCTGCTGTTATCTTTTGATGCTCTCCCAAGAGAGAAGTCACTCAGCTCCCTGTAGCATGAAGTACAGGTCAGTCTCTGATGCCACAAGAAACATTCATTTTCCATGTTGCCAGCCTGTCTGTGACCAAGGAGAGACTGCTTCTGCTGGGCTGCTGACATTGCACAGGTCGTTGTGTAAAGCAAGTGATCTCCAGGCACGTGATCCTTACCTTGCATAGCTTCAGTGAAAGGGCTTTGTCCACTAGGAGTGTTCTGACTCAGGCTTGACTGGTCTGTTTCTTTGAGCTGTGCCTTGTTGCATATGATACAGTAGCTATAGCAATGGAATTCAGCTCTAGCAGGACTTAGGTGAGACAGCTCTTGTGCTTGTTTGCATGGGGGAATATGAGTACTGGTTTCAGGTTGCTGAGTGCAGGTGTCACTGTGGGTTTTCTGTACCCTCAGTGCACCTGTTGCTCTCTAGAAATAATGAATTTAAATGTGTTTTTATCTGTTCAGAATGTTTGGACCAGGAAGAGAATATAATTTCACCAGGCCAAATGAAAAGGGAGAATATGAAATTGCAGAAGGAATTAGCTCAGCTGTGTTCCGGACTGTGCTGGTAAGATGATGTTTGTAGTTGTTTCGTCATGTGCAAAACTGAGTCCTCTCTGTGCCCCTGGGAGATATGCTCTTTTATTGCAGTTTTGCATTGTGATTTTATAGAAAATAAACACACATGTATGCATGCATCTGAAATACTGACTCGCATCAAGATCAGCTATTTGCTCATGTTGCCTTTTACCTTTCTTGTGAGCTTCGTTCTGACTTTGTGGCTGCACATAAATGATTACTGCATGTGTTAGGAAACCCAGTGCCATGGAAAAGGTTTGACTGGGGCTCACAGTTGGTCAGAGCCAAGAGGGATGCAGAGAACTGTAGATTCTCAGACAGGTGGGAGGTTTCTGCTATTCACAGGCCTGTTTATATTTCCTGAAACTCAAGTGCTTGTCAACAAAACAAAAAGCTAAACAGAAAAATGATTGGAGTCCAAATTCTTTATTTTCCACTCCAAATTTTTCTTTGCAGGATTATTACAAGACTGGAATAATAAACTGTCCTGATGGCATTTCCATCCCAGACCTTCGAGACACCTGTGATTACCTCTGCATAAACTTTGACTTCAACACAATCAAATGTCAAGATTTAAGTAAGTATAAGGATAAATCGGCTCTTAGGAAAATCATGGCTGTGGTGTTGAGCACTCATCCTGATTTGGTGCATTTCTTATGTGCTTTAGTTTAAGTGTAAGGGTATGGACTCCACGAGGGCTGATGGCTGTGTTGCGTGTAGGCAGCTTCCTTTTCTTTGCTGCTTCAGCTGCAAATGCACTGATTGAACCCTGCAGAAGAAAGACATTTTGCTCAGAAAAGCAAAGTGAAACTGTAGAACTTCTCAGCCTCTGTTTTATGGAGGACCTGGAAGAGCTTACTGCTACAGCCAGGCAAAATGAAGGCTAAAAGCAGGTTTGCCACCCCTGTCTGAAATGTACCAGAGAAGTGAGAGTAACTTAAGCAGAGAGATGAACAGGCAGACTGGGTGTTGAAGACACAGAAGTTGTGAAGTAGTCGAGTTCCTAGCAGTGAAGGAAACTGACTGGGAGCAGCATTCTGGTGGGGATGCTGGCAAAGAGGAACTTTTCACATAAGGAAATCTGTGAAGAGCACTGTGCTGAAATGGGACTTGTGATACCAAAGCACAGACCTTGGGTGGAATTCCTGCTGTCCTCTGATGAGCAGGCAGGTGGCAGAAAATGTGCTTTGAGGTCCAGAGATGATTGCTGGAAGTTCAAAGATCAGAATGAATGAATTATTCTCTCATTTTGCTGTATTGATTCAGTGTTTTTTTTTTTTTTAATGGTAATTCAGTGGTTCTGGGGTGTCATTTGCATCCCATTTGAAATGCATTCGTTTTTTTTTCCAGTTCTGGTACTGGGGACTATTGGTGCAACTGAACATACGTGGAGGAGTTTGTCTAAAGATGAGTGAATATCTTAAAAGTGCAGAGCTGGGCTGTGTGTTCATGTGGTATCTTAATACATGCACACCTGTATTTTTGTGATTCAAAGAAGCTCATGGTGTTGTTGTGTCTCTTTAGGTGCTCTTTTACATGAGCTCTCCAATGATGGTGCTCACAAGCAGTTTGACAGCTACCTGGAGGAGCTCATTCTGCCTATCATGGTGGACAGTGCCCGGAAAGGGGAGCGTGAATGCCACATTGTTGTGCTGACAGATGAGGACACTGTGGACTGGGATGAAGATCACCCTCCTCCCATGGGCGAGGAGTATTCTCAAAGTAAGGCAACTCCTGCCTCAGGTTCTGCACGCTCCCAGCCATCTGGCTGCTAGGGAAGGACCCACTGTCCAAACAGCAGCCTTCCTCCAGGAAGGGAGGCTGGCACATGGTGTTCTGTTTTGTGCATTCCTTCTGAATTGGCTGCTGCCGCAGGCAGGATACTTGTCTTGCTACAGCTTTGTTTTGACTTCCTGCAGTGGTAATGGAGAGCATTCACTGCATCTTTTCCATATCTTTACTGCCTCAGCCTGTTTCTGGTGTCTGAATACTTTTTGCTTTATGCACCCATCGCCTCCCTTCTATCCATACTGTAATGTGTATGGCTACATTGCCACCAAGGAGCCAGAGCTCATCCTACTGATGAGAACAGAAATGTGAGCAGTTTCTGGAAACCAAACTTGCTTTTTTGAGGCTCCCACTGCTGAGTATGTCAAAAACAGGGGGAAGGTCTCCCCTGTGGATTCTCATTGCTGTTTATTTCTCCAGTCCTTTACAGCTCCAAGCTGTACAGATTCTTCAAGTACATTGAGAACCGAGATGTTGCAAAAGCTGTGTTGAAGGAGCGGGGCCTGAAGAATATTCGCATTGGCATTGAAGGTAAAATTATTTCCTCAACAAGGGAAATGCTAAAAGGAGCGACTCCACAGCGTGTAAAGCCTGTTTTGTACTGGATTTGCATCAGAGGAGAGCTCACATTGGCTATCTCACGTGCTGTTGTGCTTTCCTGTGTCACCACCTGGGCTCTGATAATGCTAATGGATTAATTATTCTGTCCCCACATCCCGGCACCAGGAAGGGAAGAGAGAGGTGGTGGTAAATGACTACTTAAAAGTCATGGATGTTTGCCATACCATTGGTTATGCTAAGCATATTATCAGGGTTTGGAAGCAGGGAATACCAGTCACGTGTGCCTGCAGCATGGTTAATGCTGTGCAGCCATGGGATGCTATGGCTACACACAGAGCTGCATCTTCTTTTCCAGGGAAAAGAAAGCAGTCATGAAAGGCAGTAATGGTGTGAAAGGCAGTAATGGTAAATGTGGGAGCTCACTTGTCTACTCAGTCCCCTGTGTGCCTGCAGTCACTCCTGTCTGTCCTTTAGGATCTCTTGAAGGTGTGTGGTGCAACTGACTGTCTGTCTGTGTTTTCAGGATATCCCACCTGTAAAGAGAAGGTGAAGAGGAGGCCGGGTGGCCGCTCAGAAGTGATATACAACTACGTCCAGCGGCCGTTCATCCAGATGTCCTGGGAAAAGGAGGAGGGCAAAAGCCGTCACGTTGACTTCCAGTGCGTCCGGAGCAAATCTCTAACAAACCTGGTCACTGTGGGTGATGATGTTTTGGAGGACCATGAGGTTATAATGCACCACCCCCCCCAGGTAGATGAACTGGATAGGCTAAATGCACCATTCTCCCAAATGGCTGTTAATGATCTACCTGATTAGTCATGGCTCCGGCTTGATGTGGGAACATCTCAGCGTAGTTTCATCCTAGTAATGGAACACAGACTCCTTGCAAGGTGCTTTATCCTCATTCATCTTCTTACTATGTTGTCATATTTCAAGCATGTTAATAAAGAGCCACGCTCTCTAGCCTAATTGTGCAATCAAAAGCAACATCTCCAACAAAAAGAACATGTCGCTTGTTTCCACTACAAAGGCTTCCAGACTGATGGGTGCTGAATATTTTAAGTAAACTTCTGAAAGAGGAGCAGAAGTGTTTAGAAATGACATGAGAGAGGAAACTGTGGGCCTGTCAAGACAAAGCTTCTATTTGCCATTAGATACTTAGGTTTGCTTTTGTGATAATCTGCACCAGACATCAAAGCAAGGCAGGTGATGCTCTTTCATCAGCCAGCAGAAATGTAGCACGGTTGTGGCAGCAGAATGCTGAGAGTGGGGAAATGACAGCAGAATGCTGCATGAGGGAATCTGTTTACACTGCCACCTGGCTTTGCATGCAGTGTGCACAGCTGTTCCAGGGAGCACCTCTCAGGGGTGTTCAAGGCTAGGTTGGATGGGGCAGCCTGATGTGAGCTGGAACTGGATGGTCTGTGAGGTCTTTTCCAACCAAAGCCCTTCTGTGATAATAGGAAGTATGAGACTCTTCACAGGAGCTTCCTGTCTGTACTTCTGCATCAGATGAAGTGACTGTTCAGAGATACTGTCTGTGAAGTTCATTAAAATGAGCAGATTGTGCTGGAGGAAAAAGCCAGGAAGAAGACTAGTTGATTTGTTAGCAACAAAGTCAGTCAGTTCAGTAGCATAGAAGATGTAAGAAGCTTTCTAAAGGTGGCTGTGCGTGTTAAAGAATTTCTTTCCTCGTCCTTTCTAAGAAAAAATAATGCTGGAGCTGAGCAAAATCTCTGTTTGCATCAACCTCATCAGTGAAGATTTCCAGAGGCTGTCCAAGGAGCATTCCAATCACAGGACCTTTCAGCTTCTGAAGGCCGCTCACTTTCCTCCCAGTTTGGAACCGTCTGGACTCTGTCACAGTCAGGCACATAAGAGACAACAATAAATGAGACTTCAGCAGGAAAAAAATGCACATAGCTGGGAACAATTGCCCTCTGCTGCTCTAAGTACAGTATTCTGTATTTAATTCTATTCATTTTGGATTCAGGGCCAACAAAGCTGTGACTGTAGGTGTAAACACGCTCCAGGCTGCTTAACTCACTCGTGTTGGAGTGTAGCTGTCCTGTTCCTGCTGTGTGCAGTTCCATACAGGCTGCTTAACCCACAGGTGAGCACACAGTGCATTCAGTACAGCCAGAGCTGAGCAGGCAGGTGAGCAAGCACAGGCCTACCTTACACAGCCAGCATTTCTGAGGGCCACAGAGAGACCCAAAGCAACGCTGTTCCTAACTTTGACGTTGTGCTGGTACAAAGCAAAGCTGAAACGCACTCCAAAAGCATGAGAGGAAAACAGCTCCTGTAAGTTCAGGTCAGTTCTGCTCTTGTAATTGACTGGTGTTTAAACTTGTGCTGCTTGGTGTGTGAGTTACTTGGCCATACTTAAAGTAGAGGTAGGTGTCAGTCTGCCCCTAGAAGCTTTGATCCTTTTGTCGTCAGGGTTGCATCGAGCAAGTTCTCATTATTTTCTGTCTGCAAACTGTAAGGTAGGCTTGGTGCTGAAGTTTGCTGTTCCTGTTTTTGTTGTTATGGATGTATTGTTTTCCTTTTCTGTGTAAGGAACATGAATGCCTTTCTGGTTAAGAGTAACAGCACCGTGTTTGCCAGCGCTGTGCTGATGCGTTTCGTTCCCATTTGTATGGATATGGGTTCTGTTATCAGCAGTGTTCCTTTTTCCTAAGTGCAGCAAATATCTCTCTTCTTTTATAAGTGCCTACAGGAAGATTTCCAGAAGTGCTTCAGGCCCTCCTGAGAGTCTTAGGGGTTGAGGCCCACCTGACTTCTGAAAAGTCCTTTCTGTGTGTTAGTGGATCAGCATAGAGAAGTGTCCTTCAGTGTCTGCACAGAGGCAGCGTAAGTCACGTGCAATCACTTCCCGTTGTTCTAGATGGATTTCTATTGTTGTATTAGAGAACAAAAGCTATGGCTATGGCACATTGATCTTCCAGCAGAGGTCCAGGCCAAGTCCATTAGCTGCCAAAGGACTGAGCAGCTCCCAGCGTCAAGCATAGGCAGTGGTGAGGCTGCCCCCTGGCAGTGATGGAGCCTGGCTCCAGGCCCTGTGGATTTTGGGTGTCTCTGTTTATTTTTACAGCAGTGTGAGTTTGAAGCAAACCTGTGCTCAGCAGGGATTGGGGTTTACACAGTTCCCCAGGCGTGTGGGTCAAGCAGGCCCTCACTTGGAGGCTCAGAATGTCACTGCCTTGCTAACTTTCTGGTGCTGTGCAACCAGTGGGACCTTCAGCACAGGATGGGGGCCTGGCTTCTGTGCTGTACATGCGCTGTTCTGCAGACACTGAAATAACACTCTACTTTATTGGTGTTCCCAAGTAGCTGGGGGTGCATTTGGGATTTATTTGTAGCAGAGTGAGCTCTGCTGGAACACTACATCAAGGTGAAGAAGTTTGCAATTTGCTTTTCCTCCTTTTCTCTTGGTTGCCCGCCATTCAGGCAAAGTGTTCGGTCTTATTTGAGATATACTGAAGTGTTAACTGTGGTGTCCATGAACTCCTGCAGCTGTATGGTTTCTTTTATGTATTAAAGCATAAATTATATGTGGTTGTTTGGGCTCTTTTAAATGTGGAATAGAATAGGTGGGGATTGTATTGCTATAATAGTTGAACTAGATGAGGTCCCTCCCATCCCAAACCATTCTATAGGTAATGTGGAGCCCAGCTGACGTTTAATGGATTGACTGATAACTGTGTGTTTACTAAGAGGATTTTATTTACATACCCAATGCAAAGATCAATCCATACAAAGTTGGCTCCCCTGCCCTCACACGATACATCTGCCAAATTTTACAGTGCAATTTAGTAACAGCTTTTAAATATTTACAGAAAACACTTTTTCAAATTACAGCTTAAGGCAGAGCCAGGGCACAGTGATAAGAAACACTTGGTGCAGGTTTATGCTAGGCATGATAGAAAGACAAAGTGGCAGCAAATTCAGATTCATTGGAAATTCAGATTGGGGTTTTTCCTAGAAGTCCAGCTGGGTAACAAAATGCAATCAACAAAAACAGCCCTGCTGGCAGCTTGAAAAGAGAGCTGAGATCCACATGAGCTCAATCCACCAAGCAGCAGCTCATACAAAGGTTTGGCTGACAGAGAGGGAACAACCACACACAAATCTTCAGGTACAGCTCCTGGAAGCAACAGGGGCTCGGTTAGCACCTGTAGCAGGAAGCAGCTGCAAGTGTGATACAAAACCTGCCAGGGGAAAGGGATGCCCAAGGTTTTCAGAGGATTGTATGCAGCCCTGTGGCTCCTACTGAAAGGCACAGAAATGAGGTACCCAACTGTTCCTTACGCCTTATGAAAGCTTTAACTCAAAACTGAGGTTTCAGACTTTAAAACACACGCACTAAAATGCACAGTCTGTATTATTACAGAGATTCTCACCGCAAGTTGTCACAACTTAGAGTGGTACAGCTTCTCTTATCTTTGGTATTTGTACAGAAAGTGTCCGGTCCCTTTAATAGAGGGCTAATAATGCCACTGCTGCCCCCAAATCCTTCATCCCCATCCGCTGCAGCTTCAAAGGATTTTGCTTTCTGAAGTCTTAAGGCAGTAACTAAGCTGTTGGGAATTTCTAAGCATTCATTCCTCTCACTTTCCTAGTGGTTTATAAGGCAACATTTTCCAATGGTTCAAAATAAACTGCAGGATGAGGACAGGACAATGGGACAAGTAGCTGTCAGCCCTCTGCTGAAAATAAAGATAGGAGGTCATGGTACTGACACAAAGCTGGAGCCTGTAATCATTGCTTCAGTTAGCCCTTATTCATGAGTAATTCCTCCTGGCTGCAGTGCTCCTGGTGCTTCTATCAAGGCCATCCTTGCATTTCTAGGATCCAACTGGTATCTAAGCTGCTTATGGCAAATAGTTCAACTCCTGGAACGCGTCCTAAAAGCACAGGGGTGGCCATGGAGAGGATGCAGTGAGGCAGCACCCAGCCTTAACTACATACAGGCAACTTTCAGTCCCCCACTCAGGCCCTCGCAATGGCACTCAATTCAGAAGACATCTGGCTGAGAAGTCCTTAAAAGCACCTATTAAAAAATTCACAACAAACCCTATTTCCTTCTGTTTCCTAATCTAGAAAGTTAGAACTAAGCGTAACAGAACGTTCCCATTACTTTGAAACACTGCTCTCTTTGTTTCCAAATAGCTCTTCTGGCCATGCCATGCCATTAGTGTTCAGCACCAACAAAGGTTTAACAGCCTTAAGACAGTTTTAACTGATCCATGCTTTTAGAGACCTCATTCCAATGTTGAAAACATCTAATTGCAAATTACAAGAGTGGCAGCAAGCAATCCTGAAGGCTGATGCCACCTGCCACTGGAAGTGCAGCTGACTACAGAACAGGGGCAAAGTGGAGCTCGTGATTATAAAAAGAAATTAGCAAAAGCTCAGCTGAGGCAGAATCCTCCCTCCCAAAATGCAGACGTGTTCCCAGAGATGTTCAGGCATGGAAAGGCACTTTGGGGCTCTCCCAGAGAGCAGCCTGATCAGAACTTGTAGAAACGACACAAGGCAAAAACGTAGAGTAGGCTGTGGGTCCGACCACCCCAAACTGAGCACGTGAGGCACCGCGTCCTTTGGAGACCGCAGGGACAGCTGCTGCTGCTCCCATCCAAGAGCGAGGAAGCCCCAGAAGATGGTTGTTACAGCTGGTGAAGGATGGCCGTGTCAAAATGGCCAACAGATGGCAGCAGCAGGAAGCTGCCACGCACCACCGAGCAGCCGAAATCGGTTTTTCCTCCATCCGGCTGCACGAACTGCAGCCCCAGCTGTAGCCTCCATTATCTGCATTGCTTGTAGGTGTCCTGTCACACAGGAACCGAGAATGGCTGGTGGGAGAAGTGGCCCGTTTCTCTTAGCACTGTCTGGGGAAAAAAAAAACAAAGTGTGCAATTGTTTTTAATGGCTTTGAGGGGTCACTGCTTCAGTACCAAAAGTAAAGTGCACTGCAACTTGAGGCCACTGCTACGGAGCTGAGAAATGCTGCTGAAGAGGCTTCCAAGCAGCATCATAAAATAAAAGAAAACCCATCACTACAAACTAAAGTTAAGGCAATACAAGTTGTCTCCTCCTAGATAGTTTTACCACACGTTTGTCTGCCTCAAGCTTTAATTATTGCTTCGTCTCCTCTGTACTGAAGTCCTTTGCCACCAGGAAAACACTGCTGGTAGAGCTGGCAGATGGAGTGCATCACTTAATGCAGGGCTGGCGAAGGGCCTACATGAACATCACACACTGCAGTGTCACGTGGAGGCTCGCTCTGATCCAAAGGTTTGCACAGTCTGCTGAAGAACTTAGAAAGAAAACTGTATCTCTTGCTCCCGAAGCAGCAGAACGTGCTTGCAGCAGTGATGGCAGTTTGTGGAAGTTTGCAATGGTGCAAAAAAAAGAACAAATCCTTAGTAACAGCCAGAGTGTGTAACAAAACAGCATCCTGAAGTCTTCTCCAAGAGGTAATAGCCCTCAAGTTTTCTTCAAAAAAATAAAAAAGTAACATTTTTTTTTTTTTTCCTCCTTAAAAAAAAAAGTTCATTTATGGGTAAAAACCCAAGGTACAAAACAAATTCCACGGCTCAGAAGCTGTCCCAGCTAAAAGGTTCATCACTTTCCTGCTTTCATATAGGATGGGATTGCCCCTCGGGCTGTCAGGCCCTCGAAACGCTTGTAGGTGTAATTGATGAAAACCCAGTCCTTGTTCTTGTAGTCTGTCTCTGGGTGGTTGCTTGTTGCCACTGATGAGACAAAAGAAAGACAAATTATCATTTGGAAACTGCAGCATTTCCCCCTCCCCAGCACCCTCACCAAACACTGCAGGTAAGATAGGATGCTGCTGAACAAAGAGATGCAGGTTAAGCAGTCAATTCCATTCTTAGTTGTGTGTTTTTTAAACACGTGGAACAAATCTCTCACGTGCACAAAGCAAGCATTTACCTGTTGGCTTAAGGATATCAGATTCTGGAAATTCATCAAAGTTTGAGGTATCATCAATGCTTTTAATTTCTATTGGAATTGCAGCAGGTCTCTCCCTGCCAAGAAGAACAGATTGAGCGTTAAGGTTTCAAAGGCAGAAGAAAGCAGGATTCAGACACTTCTCATTTCTTAACACAATCAAGGACCAAAGGCACTCAGACCTTAGCAAGCTTCAGATACAGCCCAGAATACCCTCACCCACACCTAGGCATGAGAAATGCCAGCCAAGCTGCAGTGATGCTCAGCAGGACTAGCAGTGAGTTCTTCTGCAAAGCATCTTACCTTATGTGCTCCCAATCGACCCCTTCAAAGAATGGATTACTCTTTATTTCCTCCACACCAGATGCTCCAATTCTGTGCTCCCATTCACAGCAAAATCTGGGATGAAAGGAAGAACGAAAATGAAGGCAAAATGAAAGCATCCCATCCAGAACTGGAACAGCTTTCCAAACTGACAGCACCACAGTTTCCCCACGTATAAAATGGAGAAAGCTAAAGATTCCCATTTCAAAGACAACACATGAAGTTATGCTCAGCAACATCACATCAAATGCTGCAGTTCAGATGTGATACTCTTCCATAACAGAAGTGGGGAGCAAGAAAACACACAGAGCCTGAAAGCTAAACATGGATATTTTTGTCCTTAAAATGGATAAGTGATTGAAAATGTCAGGTGTTCACATAAAAATGAAGGAGTCAGCAGGCGTTGGGATGTTGCATGCTCCAGCACATCCATGCCATGAACCTTGCTATGTTCCCTAGCTAGTTCTGGCCAAGAGATAAAGTCACTTCCAAACAAAATAGGAAGCAGAAACATTCCCACTGTCATGGGAACACAGCGCGGTGCTTTTGAAGCACAGTGCAGTCAGTGCTCCACTGAGAGCTCTGAAACACAAATGCATCTGATGAGGGAGTTCAGCATTTGATGCAAGGGCATAACAAACTGTGCTGCAGTCATGAGGGCTTTTTCCCCATGTGAAGCTGGCTATGGAAGCTTTATAGTACAGCTTACAAGACAAAGTTAGTGCTGTATGAACAGGCAAACCGTGTAACAGGCACCTTAAAATAAGGTCCTTGGCTTTGTCAGATATTGGGACTTCTGGAGGAAACGTGAGGGTCTCTTTCCAATTCATTACTTTCTTGTAAGTTTCTTGAGGAGTCTCAGAACAGAAAGGTGGATAACCTGAGGGGGGAAAGAAAGAAAACATCTTGTGTAAAGCAAAAATAATTCCTTTAGTTATCAAAGTTTACACTGCACCAGAATGCAGCTTAGAAGCCATGCAAGCAGGAGATGCTTTGAGAGGCTGACCCCCAGCACGCAGACACAGCTGATGTCCTGCACCACGACTGCTGGCTGTGCTCAGTTCTTACCGATCAGCATCTCATACATGATGACCCCCAGCGACCACCAGTCACAGAGCTTGTTGTAGCCTGTCTGCATGAAAACTTCAGGAGCAATGTAATCCGGAGTCCCCACAGTAGAAAAAGCCTGAAATGGATGCCATGAATTACACATCCTTAGATAGAACTTGCTGATATGGAACTTGAGCAACAGCAGCGATTTCAAGGGAGACACCAGACTGACTAACTGAGCCTTCACAAAGTTGGTTAAAGGCTTTCTGTCAAGATATGCAAAGGAAAAAATTGAATCATTTACATGAAGGAGTCTTAAAATACCATTGGGAAAACTGGGAAGATCCCTCTGTCTACACATCATCATTAACCCTTTGTTTGCCTGAAAATGGTTTCAGCCAGCAGGCAGCAGCCAGCAGGGCAGTGCTATCTCAGGCACAACTGCCTGGCAGCTGGATGAAGGACAAACAGGAATCATTCCTTTTTGAAAGAAACTGCACAAATCTCATCTCACACGTTGTTCACACGTGGATTAATGCCTGCCACGTACAAGGGTGTGCTATCAGAGAGCAGCAGCTCCAAAGAGAGCAGCTCCAATCAGGTAAGCGTTGCACTCACCAACTGCCGTCTGTTTCTCTTCCATGTCTCTGCTTTCCGTTTGGAATTCATGTTCTGGAAGGCTGAAGGGAATTGGGATGTTTCAATCCTACTGATCACCCAACAGGCAGTTTTTACTCCAAAATGGTGACGCTAAAAGTCTCCTTTCCAAGACCACATTGCATTCAGCTGTGCCCTGAGGTCCCGACCATCCCCACCTGCTCACCTCCGTCCCCTATGGCCAAAGTTTATCACCAATTTATTGGTGGGTGCACACTGAATTCAGCTCACACAGGATAAAGCCCCACGGGCCACGAAGCCATCAGCCTGCCTCAGCAAGTGATTAAATGCTCAAGGAGACTGCGTGCACATTTATTAATCTGAGATAACACCTAGCATCTACAGGTTACACTGAGCTCTCATTTGTTTTACTGCACATGCTAAGAAAGGCTACAGCAGTGCCTACCTGAAATACGAACTCCTGGAAATGAAGATGTCTATTAAATAACTGACACTGTTTTTATGAAGTAGTTCTGCAGTCATTCAAAACTACACTTTGAGATGCAATGTTGGTTATTAGACCCAAGCAGCAGCTCTCTAAGTTGATGCTGAAATGTGCCAATGGGCACCAAGAGCCAGTCAGATACCACAGACACCACCCTGAAGCCAGATCACTTACTGAAGTCACTGGGAAGGGAATGGTTCAGGTTCCTATAGAACTCTGTTCTATGGGCTTTCTTCAGTCCAGTGCACAGACCAAAATCTGACAGTTTCACGTGGCCCTAGAAACAAAAATGCCCAACAGTGCGAGAATTATCACGGCAAGTGAAGCTTCTTACAGTGCCTTTATTTTGGTAAGGAGCAGATGTGCTCTTTGTACACTCCTTGTTTTAACCTGACTGGGTGACACACAGCACTGAGCTGTTAATGTTTTCATCACCATTATCCAGACAAAGCCCTTTTTCCAGCAGCAATTGAGTTCAAGAACCCCCTGCTCCTGCAAGCCCTCTGCTTCAGAGTGAGAGCAAACATCCCCAGAGGGAGCTGCAGCCCCTCCACCACTGGATCAGGAAGGCACCTTGCATCCCCCCAGCACTCACCACCACCTCCACGCTCACTGGGTGCCATTATTTTTTCTTCTGCAACTAAAACCCAAATCCTTTTCAAAGCCCCCAGTTTATCTGTGTCTGGATGCGGACATACTGAATTGCAGCACTAATTCCAGCAGCATGCTTTTAGCTGCCCGGTGGCAAAATGTCATTTACTGTTGGCACACTTCCAAACTAGCTAAATCTTAAGGCAACTTGCAGCAGGCAACAAGGCAGCAAGACAAGCAAGCTTTCTGCAGAGTGCCTGCAGTAACCACTGAGAAGCAAACTGATAACAGGACAAGCCTTCAGAAAGACATCCTGATTCTGAGGGAGATCATATCTCCACTTTCAGTCTCACTAACAGAGCAGTTAGATGCTTCACATTTGATATGATATCTGCCCAATAGCTGGCAAGGGTGAGCATAACAGAAGCGAGACAGAAAGGAAACATCTTTGACCAAGAGTGAAGAACTGAAACTGTGCATTTCAAATTGCAGCTGAAATAACCAAGAATAGCTGAACAACAGTCACAAGACAGCTCCTAAGTGAGGTATGGATAAAACAGAGGATGGATTTGTTGGCTTTTCCTCCCCCCAGCAACATGGTGAAGGCCAGGCTATGAAGCAAGCAGTACTCCTACCACCAAGCCTTGGCAAGCTGTCAGTGCATACCTTGCTGTCCAGAAGAAGGTTGTCTGGTTTGATATCTCGATGGATAAAGCCCAGCTGATGAATAGAATCAATGGCAAGCACAGTCTCAGCTATATAGAACTGTGTCTCTTCTTCTGTTAGCGTGTCTTTTTTCATCAAGAGTGTCATCATATCACCTGGAAGCAACACCCCCCCACAAAACAAAGGTAAAAACAAAAATGAATCCACAACCCCCAGTCCCTGATCACACTCATAACTGTGAGATTAGAAACCCTCAGAGGGAAGGAAAGCAGCCTTTTGACTTCATGCAGTTACCTCCAGGCAGGAACTCCATGATAAGGTAGAGGTTCAGCTTATCCTGAAAGCTGTAGAACATCTTCACGACCCACAAGCTGTCTGCTTCCACAAGGATGTCCCGCTCAGCACGGATGTGGCCAACCTGGAAACACGTATGCATTTCATTCACCACAAGCCCCTGTTTTATTAATGCTTTAATGCCACGGGAAATTCAAGTATGACACTGATGCTGCTGTATTCCTGCATGCTCTTCCCCAGTCTAGGAATCCTACTGAGCACCAACTCCACATTGGCCTTCAGCAGGAAGATGCGTGAGACCCTTTTATATTCAGAGAAGTTCCCACTGGAAAGCTTTCAAGGACTGCTGCCTTTGGACACTTGTACCTGAATTACTGCCAAGCACTAACATACACACAGGAGGGCAAGACAGCACTAACCCCAATATTAAGCAAGGATACAAGCAAGAGGAATGTAAACCAACCCTTATAGAAAGGGACACTACATTTTAATTTTCAAGCCTGAAGGGATTCGGGTTGCCTTCAAGTCAGAAGTGCAACGTGCAATACAGGATATTGCTAAAAACACCCATCTTAGAACTACTTCAATAACAGAGCACTCCAAAACATATTGCCATGGGAAAATTCAGAAGGGGAAACACGTGGTTGATTATATAAGCAAGTGAAACGTATATACAGAAGTATCTCCACGTTTATGAAGATCTCTCACAACTGGGCAACTTGAGAACCAGCTCTTTTCTAAGCAGCCAGCATGTCCTTCAGGCCCTTGCTTCAGCTCCTTCCAACAGCCTGGAAGCAGAGCAGCCTTCAGCAGCGCTGCACCGAGCAAGCAGAGTGCTGCTGGGTTTGGTACAAGTCTGTTCAGACACGGAATCCAGTTCATGGCTTTATGACCACACAGCACCTCCCAGATTCATCGCAGTGCTGAACAAGAAACGACTGCCTGACAGCATTCCCATTTCCTCCATGCAAAATAGGGAAGAAAAAGCCACGTCGCTGCTTTAGCCAGTAACCCTAAGATGCCCATCGCTGCCCTCCACACACGTCACAATCACCCCCCAAAGTCACCCAAGGCACAGATGTGGCACTGCTCATTAAGGCAGCTATTCACCTGCTCTTTCTCCAGCATATCAGCTTTACGCAGGATTTTCATGGCATAAACGTGGCCCGTGTCTTTCTTCTGGACAAGACGCACCTAGAAAGCACACAGAGCTTGACTCAGACACAGCACTGTCACCACACCTCTCCACAGATCTGGGTCTCAGCTCCCCTTTCATTCAGTTGCACCAGACTCCCCAAACCCAAATCATTACACAGCGCGTGGCAACAGCAAGGAAGTTCTGTTAATTCCAAGAGATTAAGTCATTTTAACAGACTTCAACTTGTGTAAACTACATAAGCCTTCAGCAAACAGCAGTGGCACGTGAAGAGCTTGTAGCCATCCTTCCTTGACCCACCTCTCCAAATGCTCCTCTGCCTATGACTTTTAAAGACTCGAAGTCCTCCAGGCCGAGCCTTGTTCTCTTCAGGCGAAGGAACTCGGTCTCTTTCTGTGCATGCGCCGACCTCCTGATCCTTTTCTGGAGTTCAGGGAGAAGAAAACACAGCTCTGCAGTTGTGACAGTCACAGCAATTTCATGGAAAGATGCTAGACTGCCATTTGTAAAAAATGCACTGCTATCACTTCACCATTAAAATGATTTTCCCATATTAATTACCTCCTCATCTTTCAAGCCTTCTTCTTCCATCATTTGTTCTAGCTTCTTTTGTCTGAAGGAAAAACAGACATCAGAACAAAGAAGTTCAAGAATTCAACGTTTTCTCTTAATCACATGCACATACCCAACACAGCTCTGGTCTCTGCCTGCTGTGAAAGGAATAACAAACGTGTTTGATCCATAACAGAATCAGATACAGAAGTAATTCTGAGGCACCTACTGCTGCTGCTTTACCCTTCTACAGCAATTTACATCTCTACTTCTGACAATCCAAACCTGCCTGAGTTTCACGTGTCTGATTCAGGTGCACATTTTCACTGTATGGAACACAGACCGAGGAGATCTGAGGTCAGTCCCTGCTCCTATCTGGACAAGTGCTCTGAGACCAAAGCCACATAAACACTTAAGCACCAAAGCCTCACTTCTTCCAGGGACACATCTGTGGATCTGTGCCACAGCTTCTCTGCATCTCAGATGCATCAATGCCAAACATCACTCTCTATTTCCTGATACTGCAAATATTTGAGAAAAGGAAACTTGCCAGAATGCATCTTCCTACCTAAGGAAAATCAGATAGCAACTGGGAGCAGAGAAGGAAACGAGATTTCAGAGAGGAGAAGGAGTTCAGGGCACACATGCTGCGATTATTGAGAGCTCCTTCCCAATACTGAGCACATTCACAGCTGGCTGAACTGGGGTTGGGAGTTTCGGGGTTTCCTTTGGTTCGCTTTCTCCTGTCCTGTGCAAATTCCCTTCAGTGCAACACAACAGATGTGCTGAATTCCCTGACTTCGTGCAAGTCATTTGACGAGATCCCTTTCTGATCCCTGTGCCACTGCGCAGCTGCTGTGATGCCATAACATTTTGGGCTATCACTCCCACCATCAGGCACATTTCAGCTGCTTCACCCTCACTGCAGTGCCAGACTTCTCATCTCACCCTCAAATAAAGAAGGCTCAGCACAACCGAGTGATGCTGAAATCCCCCTGAGCACCTCAGCAGATCCCAGCCGCGCTTCAGCTCCAACCTGCGCACCCACAGATCAGTTGTGGGAAGAAAAGCAAAAGTTAAACAGAAAAAAAGCCTCACTGAGGTTTTGGGAGCAGACAACAGCACTTATAATAGAAAGCCAGGAATTTAATCAGTGATATTTTCTGTTTGGATTAGACGTCAATCTCTCTTCAATGTGAAGCTTAGAAGAAAACGCATACAGAAGACAATATCTCTGAATTGCTTCCACGTTGCTGCAGTTACTGTCATTACCAAGCAGCCCTCTTGGATTGAGCTCAGATTTTGGCAGTGAGTCTGCAGGCAAATAAACACTGAATCTCTTAGAAAATTCTGATTATAGGCTGCATGGCAAGCTGGGAGCACTGCAGACATCCCTGCACTACAGCTCGAGGGTACCCAGCAAATTAGAGGCTTCTAGCCAAAGGAAAACAAAATTAACACTTGTCAGTGCAATGACTTGGTATATTATGGCCAACCAGCTTAAGGGGGTGCAACAGTTAACTCAACTCACACACACAAAGGCAGCACTGGGTGACAGCAGTGACAGGTGATGGTGGTGCAGTCTCAGCACTGTGCCACAGCCTCACAGCCCTCTCAGCAATGGAACAACAGAAAGACGTGGGCTTTCTCCCTCCAAACCACCCTGCAACCAACCCAAGCACGTCTTCTACTCAGTCCCATAACCTGACCTGATGGACACGGGGTCTGTGTCCCCGTGCACTGCAGGGAGCAGGACCAGCTGGCTGCTGCAGGTCCCTTCCAACTCAACAATTTCTATGATATGCTATGATTTCAAGCTCGCTCGCAGCCCCATCCCTGCGTGCCGTTACCTCATCTCTCGCTCTTCATGCTGTGCTATGAGGTTGCTGTAGAAGTTCTCCAGCGTCACCTTCGTCATCGTCACCCGCTCCTTGGTGTGGTTGCTCATAGAGGAGCACGGCGTGGGGCCAGTCATGGCCATGGCTGTGAGGACAGGAGGAACAGGTGACAGGAGCAGCACACAACCCTCAAAGCAGAGAGAGGTGCTCAGGAGGGAGATGCTGAATCTCAGGGAGCTGAGAGGACGTGAATGAGACACAAACAGCACAGCTGCCTGAGCTCAGATTGAGCAGGGAAAAAGTCTTACAAAATAAAGGTAAAGTCAAGCTTCCTGTTTTGCACATTTTTGACCTGAGAATAAGAGGGAAGGAAACTTAAGAAACACGGTGCCCCAGAAACCACAATTTCAGGCAGCACTGAAAGCAGGCATTGTTCCCAATGGGTTCTCAGCGTTCCTCTGCTAACCGAGGAGCTCCTGTGCCCTCGCTGTGATCTCATCCAACTCCCAAAAGCCAACCAAGGAGGGAGAGGGGCAACACTGCTTTGAAGAACTCTCCATTTACACTGGAACCCCCACAGACCCAGCGGCTTGAACACCCACAGCACTTTGCTTCACACAGAATCACAGCACCACCAAGGTTGGGAAAGACCTTCAAGATCATCCAGTCCAGCCATCCCCCATCCCCAGTAGTACTCCATAACCCACGTCCTTCAACGCAACAACAGCCGCAGCCGGGACTCTTTCAGGCAACACCTCAGAGCACACCGGGCTGCATCGCTCTGCTCACCGAAATGCAGCAAAAAGCGGAGATTTGAGGCAAAAAATTCAGCCTTCGGGGAGCGCTGCGAGCGCTGCTCCCATTGACGGCACAGCGCTCCATTTGGGAGCCCGAGCACTGCTTGGTTTCCCTTCCCATGGAGCGGAACAGGAGCGATTCAGGAGCCGCAGGTGGGAGGGGGGAGGGTAAAAATAAAGGAGGAGAAAGGAGAAGTGCCGCCAGGTGCTCCCGCAGCGCGGAGCGGACAAAGGGCCCCGCCCGCCCCGCTGCCGCCCCCGGCCCCGCACAGAGGCATGAAAGCCGCGGACGGCGGCTCTTACCAGAGTCCCCCCTTGGGAAGGGGGCGGTGAGGAGCGGACCGCAGCGCTACGATCGCGGCGCAGGGACTCGGCGGCCGGGACGTCAGCGAAGCCGAGCGGAGCGCGCCCCCTCGAGAGCCGGCGGACCCCCTAACGCCGCACCCACCGCCCCCCGCACGGGCCGAGCGCCCTAAGTACCGCCGTGGCACTGCGCATGCGCCACCACCACCCCCGGCCTCGCCCCCGTGGCCCGAGGGGCGGGGTTATCTTTGCTCCCGCCCTGCTTGAGGCGGCGCATGCGCGCTGTCTCCTGGCGGTTGGGAGTGTGTGAGGCGCGTGTCCTGAGGGCGGTGCGCTGTTTGTTGGTTTTAGTCTTCCTAACGATAAAACGCACGAATTCTGTTCGTAATTAACCTCGCTCGCTTCTGGGCTCAGCCCAGAAGAGCGTTAGAGCTGTAAGCGTGAGGTGTCTGCAGTGCAGCCGCGGGGAGCTCCATCCTCCTCCTCACCTCCAAAATGGCGCTGCGTAGTCTCACAGTGCTGTGTGCTACAAGGAGGGCTGTTTTTTCCTCATCTGCACGGGGATGTGTTGGACTAGCTAGGATGGCCTCTTTTAGTGGGTGATTCCATGTTCATGGAACGCACAGAGATTGGCAAATGGTAATTTCACTTACATTTGTACAGAGGAACGCAAGCGGTTCAGAGAGTGGGACGGTTTTTATTACGACACTGAGTTACCGGGGTTTGAATCTAGCGCTGCAGAGCACTCCTTGCACACACAGTTGAAATCTGTCGGCAGCAGAGGAATGTCAGGATTTAAAATGCCAGGCATGGGGACCCATGTGGTGGAAATGCAGATATATTCGTATCACGAGTGACATTTTGTTTCTGAAAGACTGATTTTGCAGTTAAATCTGGTGTTGCTGTGCTTAGAGCTGATCAGCTTGAAGGTGAACAACAAAACTGAATCGTGAGCGATCTGCTTCTATTTGAGGAAACACAATTGGCCTCATTACGTTGGTTTTCTGCTCAGAAAACGCAATGCATTGCGTGGGCTCACAGGAAAGGTAGAAATTCTTGTAATAAAAGGCTCAACTATGGAGTCTGGAGGGTGATTCTCATCTTTTTCACCAGCAGAGGGGTAAAATGTGCAGTGCTTAGGTGGGGAGCAGTGGATCTGCTGCCTGTGGCACTGCAAAAAGTTTGCTACTCTGATGGTAAAGCTGAAAGATGAAATAGATTAAAAAAACAAACACCTTTGGACCTAAAGCATAAGGAGCATCATTACTACTACAGAGCAGGGGCAGAGCTGCAGGCAGGTGTGAAATAAAATAAAATGTTATTAGGAGGTAATGGCTTTCTTAGGAGGCAAAACATAAAACTTCAAGTGAAGCTGTGAACATGCAAGTTAATGAACTGAACTTCCTGCTTTGCCTGGGCTGGGCTACAGAAATCTGCCACAGCCCTGCAAGTTACTGCTAACAGACAGGGTGGGCCTTGCCGTGAAAAGGAAGATTTCTGGCCTCTTAAAACACTGCATCTCACAGTCATAATAGTCACTGCCAGCTTGGGAGGGAACCCAGGTCCTTAAAAGACTCTCTGTTTGACACTCACAAATAGGTAATGGAACAAATAGACACTATTTTTCAGCTCACCTTTGCAGGAGTGCTTTTCCTTATAACATCACGTATCTAAAGCAGTGCACAGGCTGAGCTGGAAGGGGGCTAGTGGGAAAAGTTCTGTGGCTGGTTGCTAGGATTTCTCTTTCTGCCAAACTCTTTGATTTGAAGGAGATCAAAAACATGTTGTGGGTTCCAGTTACCCTCTGGGGTCTTCAGATTCTGCAGCAAAGACTGCTTCTTCAGCACAGGGAAGCTTTGCTCATCTTCCAGCAGTTTCAGGAGCTGCTTCATCGGGTTTGAGGTCTCATCACTGCTGATGCTGTTGTAGAGATCTGAGGGATCTCTGGTCTTCTGTGAATCCCATATGGCATTTGAAAGGGAAATATCCCTGCTGCTGGCTGTGTGCACGCTACCCAGGGCGTTGTGGAGCCACATCAGGCGCTTCAGCCCTTGAAATGCCCTCCCCTTATCATGCATGAGCTGGTGCTCCGTCACTGCTCTTCTACTGCAACAGCAAAAAGGGTTCAGTTAGCAAACAAGCACAGCTGGTTTTCTGTTCCTATTTCAAAATCACTGCTTTGCATCCATCAATCTTAGATTCTCTATGCTGAGGAAGGAGATCTGGTTTGCGTAGGATATGGAGGGCAGCCCTGATGCCACGCTCAGAGCCAGCAGCCTGACCCATGAGAGCCTGCTCTGCAGTGCAAGGCAGCAGGCAGGCAGTTCCTGAAGGTGGAAATTGGACCTTTAATAGTAAACCCCTTTCCATGAACAATACAAGTGCTGTTACTGGCATCCAAATCAGCACTGCACATGAGCCATTGCAGCTCTAGGCTCCTGCTACAGATTTGGGTCTGAGTGGGAGCCTCATTATGGAATTGTAGTATGTGCCATTTCCGTGACTTGCCTTGCACACCTCTGCATGCTTTGCTACACTATTCTCAAAAGCATCAGCAGAAAGGCACTGGATATAGTATAATCCATGCATCTGAAAATGCAATTGGTATGATTCTGTACTGCATAAAAGCAGTAAAATGTATGCACTTTTTCTTCTGCTACGCCTGAATTAATGACAGTGAAGAATACAGCCTCTTAAATCAAAAGCAAGCAGTCTGCTTATGATATTAAGTAAAAGGGTGATATTGCTTACTTTTCAGTGTCTTGACGTGTTGCAAAACAGGCAAGAAGAAAGATTGCAAAAAATGTAACCATCTGCAGAGATCTCTGGGGCAGGAACATTTTCTCTCTTCTTCAAATCTGATCAACAGGACAAGAAGCTGAAGGTATGACCAAAAGTCTTTCCTTCTCTCGTCATTCATTCACCTGATAAAATGAATTTCAGCCTTCAAGCACGAGTAAAAGTGGAGCAATTAAGTGATACATCACCCCAGAACCTCCCAGAACATCAGACGTGTGGACTTGAACAACAGTAAAAGATGAGGAGATTTTGTGGTAAACTTATGCATTTCTTTGCTGAGAATCCTAAATCTCCTTTCCCTCTCCCACATCTCAATGTACTGCTTCCAACTCTTGTGCATTTGCAGGCACAGACTTTTTCATGTGGAGCTGGAAAGATAAAAACTTAGCAGAAATGTAACAAAACAATTAGGATTGCTGCTTAAAACATCTCACAAAACTCAAAAGAGTTTAAGGCTGGACCGTGCAAATCAAAGTGAAAATGCAGACACAGCCCTGGGGTTTGGAGCTGAGTAATGCAGCCTTTTCCATGAGCAACACAAGTGCTGCTGTGGACATCCAAATCAGCCACTGCACGTGAGATCCGATTAGTTTGATAGTGGATATTTTGTCTGTAAGGAAGTGGAGTTCTGGCTTAAGAGAAGCAACTGCAAAGTGTACAGAGGTTATTCTCATCTAAGAGAATTACTTTCTGAGCGATTTCCGTGGACAATTTGTTCACATTAAACTAGGCATGAAAGAACGCATGCTATTTCCCATTAAAATACGTGACGATACATAAAGCACATGGCGATACGTAAGAGGTACAGACGTGCTTACATCCTGCATGATATCAAACGTAGATCTGCTCACACACGACGGTTAAGCTATGCTTACAGACTGTGATGAACAGCAAATCATGTAATAACTACAAAGCACCCCTGAGTTGCAGGGCTGGCATCTACTCACCGCTGGTCTCGCGGAGATGGCAGTGAAGGCTCTGTCTGCACGGCTGCCTCTCCTTGCCAACCTCTCGTGAGGATCCAGTCGCAATGACAGCGAGCGCCTTTCGCCTTCTTTTATACCTGCCCAGGAACCACAGAACCAATAATCACTTCAGCACTTTGTGACTAAGACCTTTCCTCTCGTGTCAGTGAAAGGAGAGAGCTGGCTATTGCCAATGAGAACAAATCTCGGATTCTAAAGCGTTCAGCTGTGACTAAGGAAAAGATGACGAGATTGCGGGAAGCGTGTTTTTCTTCTGCTGTCTCCTGTTCTGTTGTTGTTTGGGTGTTGGTTTTTTTTTAAAGACCTTCATTCTGATGCAGTGTTACTGTGCCCCGAGGTGATGGAAGAAGGGATGTTCAAACTTGTTCCACTGGTGATCGTGAAAAAGTTCCCTGGTGTGCTTTGCTGTGTTCTTGGACTTGTGAATAGGTCGCAGTGTTTGCACAGGTGGAATCTGAATCAGCAGTGCTGTAAGTCTGTAGTGCAAATCTCCATGCAGTGTGAACGGAGAGTTACTGGCAGAAAATATGAGGGGTTTGTGAATAAGATCCCGCTGGATTTTAATGCTCAGCACCAATCTCATTGAAATTGCTTGCACAGTAAGATGTTTTTGTTTTTGATTTTACAAAGTGGGGAGATATGGAGAGGCCTTATCAACTTAGTGGATGATAAAAACGCAAGCAGTAGCTCAGGCAAGAAGCCAAATTCTGATGTGAAACCATAGGACTCAGTGAGATGCAAGTCTGGATACTCACTTTATGCTATCTAGTCAGGTAGTTCAATACAGTTTGGGGACTGAGGATATGGATGGACGGGAGCACCAGGCTGAACCACTAAATCTGCTCAAGAGAACCAGACCCTATTTCTCCAAGCAAATGAAAGTGAATGTATTTGTCTCCTGTGAGAAAAGAATCCCTGGAAGAACTGAGGATACCATTTGCTTGGTGTACCCATAAGCTACTCGTTCGTTTCCCATAGGCACCACCTCACCATTCCATTGAATTCAGACTCAGGTGAGTGGAAATGCATTCTCTGATAACACAGACAGGCCAGGCCCTGCTAGCAGTGCTCTCACCTTCTCATACATTCTCACAGCTTCTGTGGACATCAGGTGCTCTTTATTACATTCCTCGTGACAGCTTGCTGGGAGCCCTGCAATCAAATAAGCGTTCTTGATGACGTGAGTCTCAATTGTTAGTGTCACTCATTAAAGGGTATGAAGTGTGTCACCAATTACAAATGACATTTGTTAAATGTGGCTAAAGCAGAGGCCTGCTTCTCATCTTAAGTTTCCAGGGTAG